TCCCTGCTTACAAAGCAGGTAACAACATTGTCTTTGTTTGTAAGGCTCATTATATTAAATGTATTTTAGAGGAACTTGGATTTAATTCTACACGTGGTAATCCAACTTATACTCATAGTTTTCTTTCTAAGGAAGAAATTGTTCAAAATCATTTGTTAGTTTTGAATATTTTTATTATTCCCAACAACCAACATGAATTTGAATTACCATATCTATATTGGATTCCGAAACCTCATAAAAATCCTTACAAAGATACATAACGGGTTCCAGTAAAGCCTCTTTCTTTACTCCTCACCAAGATATTCACAGTAGTGAAGGGGAAACTTCAAGAGTACTGTGCAACAATATATTCGAGATGTGGTGTAAATCAGATGTGGATACTTAAAAATTCCAAGGAACTTTTGTTAAAAAACATTCTGATTGTACACACAAGTACTCTGAAGTTGACATTAAAAAGATGCTTGAGTTTCTGATTGACAATATCTACGTGGTTTTTGGAGACCAGGTCTTCCAACAATCTATTGGAATTCCCATTGGTACATGTACCAATTGCGCCCCGTTATTAGCAGACCTTTTTTGTATTCATATGAAGCAGAATTTGTCCAAAATCTTGTACGTGAAAAGAAGAAAACACTTGCTGTGGCCTTCAACTCGACATTTAGATATATCGACGACGTATTGTCAATTAACAATGGCTATTTCCATTCTTATGCCGATACGATATATCCTGGTGAGCTTGAGATAAAAGATACCACAGATTCTGACACATCTGTTTCATATTTGGACATTTTACTTGAAAAAGACGTTAGCGGTAATCTAACAACCATGCAAGCTTTATGATAAACGTGACGACTTTAACTTTTCAATCGTCAACTTCCCTTACTTATGCAGCAATGTACCTTCTTCACCTGCACACGGGATTTATATCTCTCAGTTGATTAGATACGCAAGAGCATGCTCTACGTATGTACAATTTCTAAAATGAGGTAAATTATTGACAAACAAGTTGATGAAACAAGAATATCAGCAGTCTCGTTTAAAGTCATCTTTTCGTAAGTTCTATGGTCGATACAATGACCTTGTCAGCAAATACAATTTATCATTGAGTCAAATGCTGACTGACGTTTTTCATACTAATTGTTAGGCCATTATTTACACACTGAACTGTCGACGGATTTTTCCGTTTTTTTTTTATCATGACAAGGAGCACACGGCGGGTGCGATCAGTCGGCAGGGGATGCTCACTCCTCCATGGCACCTGACCCCACCTCTGATGTTTTGGAGGTCCGTGTTTGCTCTGCACCTATTTTGTAATGTTTAATGGACTTTTGGGCTTGAATGCTGTTCGTTGTCTCCATATATTTCATTTCATGCTCAAAAAATAATGATCTATTTGAATAATTTAGAACTAAATTAACAGTTTTATTGTTGAAATCCTTCTCTTTTTTCAATTTATAAATTCAGATGTCTTTCTTTTATCTTTGTTTTTTTATGAATGTAAAAAATAAACACAATGAAAAATGCTATAAAATTCAAGTAATTCCACCTCAACTTCACTGAAACAACAGAATAAGTTCTGATGTAATTTTCGCTTCACAATACTACTTTAAAGATTTCTCTGCTCTTGGTCAGGACTGCAACAAATATGTTAGAACTATTGCTGATAAAATACAAATAAATATAAAGAAAAAATTGATGAGTATAATGTTTCTGGTTGATCTCAGTTACCACTTGAAGTTGCCAACACTTTATGAAATCTTATGTTCTATGGTTTTAATTTTTAATTTTACTACAGTCAGGAGTGCAAAAAATCTGTTAATAATTATCAATGATTTTCATGTTTCATACTAAAAAAAATAAATTTAAAAAAGTTTCATCAAAATGTTTGTTCAAAACATGTCTATCAACTAATTACAGATATTTTACTATCAATTCAGAGAATACATATAGTTCTCATCACTTAACACATATTTTTAAATACAATGTATGCATACTACAGATTGCAAATAATCAAGTCTTGAAATTATGAAAAAATTGCCGTAAATGATAAAAATATCAAAACGACGAACTGATTTACAAATTAAGAATGGGTTATTATGTGTTATAATTTTTAAAACAATATTTAATAAAATACATATCAGATGACAGGAGATCAGCACAATAATGTAAAATAGGGTCACTTCAAAATCTAGTGCTCTTTGTAAGACAACTTGTATATCAAAATTCTTTTTTGGCTTAGATTTAAGGAATTGACTGAAATGGACAAAAAAGTTATTTGGGGGAATTTTATTGTTTCTTTCATATCAAACCAGAATAGGAAAAAATAATGTAATGCCCTGTTCACACGGAGAGTTTAATTCGAATTAAACGTAAGTTACTGCGAATTAAATTTGATCCGCGTTCACACGGAGAATTTAATGCGAATTAGTTTAATTCGAATTAGTTTACTGCGCATTAAATTACTTCGCATTAGCTCCGTGTGAACGCTAAGCGAAGCTAATTCGAATTAAATTTTGACGCATGCGTAAGGGCAGAATTAAGTCACAGGCCACATGTTGATGGTCAAATATAGGTACTTATGCTATTTTTGAGTGGAAAACAAAGGAAAATTATGTTAATCACTAAAATGTGTACAGACACTATGACATTATGTCAAATGTATATCTGCTCTGCACAAAATGACGTGATTTGTAAATGACGTCATAATAGCCTTACTGAATAGCCTTGTTGTAGAAATAAAATTTTAATTCGCATTAGGTTTACTTCGCATTAGCTGTCGTGTGAACGCAATTTAATTCGCATTAGTTTGATTCGCACCATTTTACTTCGCATTAATTTACTGCGAATTAAACTCTCCGTGTGAACAGGGCATAAAATAACAATCAAAAAGCCATTTTTTTCACATACAAGAGAAAAAAAATATTTACATTTCCAATGTCTTTGTCCGAGATAAAATTACAAATTGTAAAAATACTTTATTTCTACATAAATCTACTGGTTCATCGATAGGCGCGGTTAAAAAAAAATAACGTGCTGGGCGGGACAAATAGAGACAGAAGCGGGGCTATTAGCACGGGAATTTGCAGAATCAAGAGCATGTAAATATAAGGAATAACTGTCAGATTTTTTGGATTCATGACGATGATCAATCGATTGGCTTGCGTGATAATTTTATGCATAAACGCCTTCGGCGTTTATGCAAATTATCACGCAAGCCACTCGATTGATCACATCATGAATCCAAAAAATTAGACAGTTATTCCTTAAATCAATCATAGCTTAGATCTAATTATTTATATCCCTGATACATGTACTATTTTGAAAAAAACTATAATTTCTTTTGAATATCTGTTTTAGGAAGTCTTTTTAGATGAATTGATATTTACTTTTTTCAAATTAATTTTTAATTACTTATGAAAATTCGGAAACTTTTTTTTATCCGATTGTCTATTCTATTGTAACTTCATTAATTTAACTAGAATGCATGTACAATATGATGATATAAGTGAAAAATATGTTACCGAGGGTTGAATTTTTAAAAAAAAAAAAAAAAAAAAAAATTCAATTTGGTGGTCATTATTTTTGAATTTACCCTTATGACAATTATGATATGAAGACCAATGTCGCAATATACAACGAGAAAATTCAAAAGAGAATATTGTTTCTGTATATATTTATGTTTTTGGTGATAAGCCAGTATCATAATACTAATGGTGCTAACTGTATTGCATGCGTAACATAGTTTCAATTTGTATTTGACGGAAATTAATGAAGGAATGTGTTCGGAATTCGAATTAATAAAAACTTCACATAATGAATATAAACTCTAAAAAAGAAATTTCCAGCAGATCTTTGGAAAAATGCGTATGATTGGAGGTATTTTTGTGAACGGGTTCGCGGTTAAGATGGAATGCTACACCAAAATTTTATTTTATGGATACTTAATTAAGACGTATCTTTTGAAATACGGATACAGCATTGAAAGATTGATATTAGTTCTTAACTATTTGTATGATTTTTTTTTTTATTTGTAAAAATCGTTTTATTTGCAAATAAGATGCTTTAGAGTTTTTTTTTCTTCAATGAAATTCAGAAATTCCAAACATTCTGTGTGTAACACTTTTGTTTCAGACGTTATAAATATCACTGCTCACTATGGCCCAAAGTTTGAGGTCAAAATGTCAATGCCAAAATTTCATACCTTCTGTCTGTGTTTAACAGTTTTGTTTCCGGACAGTATCTTAAAAAGTCTTTGAGCTCTAAATGATTTTTTTTTTATCACAACACCCTTTTGACTTATTCAATACTTCTCAGTTGAATATATCTCTCAGCTGATTCGATACGCAAGAGCATGCTCTACGTATGTACAATTTCTAAAACAAGGTAAATTATTGACAAATAAGTTGATGAAACAAGAATATCAGCTGTTTCGTTTAAAGTCATCATTTCGTAAGTTCTATGGTCGATACAATGACCTTGTCAGCAAATACAATTTATCATTGAGTCAAATGCTGACTGACGTTTTTCATACTAATTGTTAGGCCATTATTTACACACTGTATTGTCGACGGATTTTTCCGTTATTTCCCGATCATGACAAGGAGCACATGGCGGGTGTGACCGGTCAGCAGGGGATGCTCACTCCTCCATGGCACCTGATCCCACCTCTGCTGTTTGGAGGTCCGTGTTTGCTCTACTCCCATTTTGTATTGTATAATGGACTTTTGAGCTTGAATACTGTTCGTTATCTCCATATATTTCATTCCAAGTGGCATTGCATCAAGGATTATAACTCTAAAATGAGACTGAAATGGAAATTTGCACCTAAGCGATTAGATGAACATTTTCTTGAGATCTTCCAAATTAATGCTATTTTCTTTTTTAATTAATTGAGCCTTTCTGCCATTGCAATAAAATGATACTGCAATCACAGAAAAAGATAGCAATCACAACAAATAGCAAAAAAGACCCTGAAAATCATAAAAAAATATCATGTCAGATCATTTATTAAACAAGCACAGGACTCATAGCATTAATCATATAATTAAATGAATAATATGACAGCACCTTTATTTATACAATAATGAAAAATGGCTACTGGAAGGTATATATGCTGTATGAAGAATATAAAACATAATAGAACAGTTGTGTCTCAGTCATAACTACAGCCCTACATAGCAAACTTTATCCTTTAACACGCCACTATGCAGTAAGATCTACATATTGTACCATACATATCATGCAAGAGGTAGACTAGATAGGTTAAACAATAAAAAAATAAAACAACAAAAATAACTACCATAGAATAGAAAGCAAATATAACAATGGAATACTTTGTATATGTTTATTTTTTCATGTTTTACTAACATATTTCGTAACCAATAATTGCGTAAAGAGAAAAAAAGCTCTGCAGCCATACAAAGTTGTCATTTGGCCAGTATAGCTGTACTGTCTTTGTTTTATATAAATTAATCTATATTTCATAAAGTTCAAAAAACTACTTTCAAATCTTTGGTTTCAATATAAGGCCTAAGGATAGTATTGATTTATTAAACAAAGAAACTGAGCAGATGTAAACATTCCCCTTACTATGACAGTGGTTATCAATGATCTAACAATGTAATATCCAACAAATATATGAAGTGAGTGATACATTTCTCATGTGCACTGTACATGCAAGAAATGGCATCCTACAGTAATACACATATAACAATTAACAGAAAATTTAAACTTTATCAGTGGATGATAATTTTTAGCATATATATCTACCAATGACCCATTGTATGATATACAAGTCAAAATATCTCAATTATCTATATACTTTGAAATGAAATTTCAGGTCATAAAGAAACAATTTTTCTGTGGCCAATGAATACCACCAATTTAAGAATTTTAATACATGAACCATTATTGGAGAGGTTGTAAATGTAAATCATGTAGATAAATGAAAAAGCCCAGTATTGCTTACAATGTGGCACTGTATCCTTGATTACAAACTCTATATTATATTGACTATATCATTATATTGTGTCTTACATTAATTGCATTGCTAATGGTGAAAAGGAAAAATAAAATCATTCTACATGTAATACTTGTAATACTTTCAAAAGATGTTTATAAATGTACAAAAAAAAAGGATTTCCAAAAATTGAAATACATGTATTCAATTCATGTTAGGATGAACTTTCTTCTAAATAAATTAATTCTAATAAATTTCTTTTGATGAAAAGCATATAAAAGGGAGTGATTAAAAAATGCACTGCGTCAGCTAAAATGTGGAAGGAATTTGAACAATACTGCCTAAAAACAATAACAGCAAACATACACTTTAATCTACATGTAACATATAAAACATTTATCCCTGCCAACATATATCCTTGATGCCTAACATGTGATAAAGCTGTATATGGCATATTTTTCTTCCAAATAAATACCATGCACAAAATTTGTGTTAATCATGTCATAATTTTTTTTTTCGATGACATTTAAATTACATTGCACATGCCTTTAGAGTAAAATTATAAGTTGAAACACAAATACCAAAATTTAATAATTGGAATAAACATTTAATCAGGCCAGCCTGATAATGTCACCGGAAGTCCGAGATGAGAGGTACTGGTTAGTACAAGGGAAAATTTGCATTTTGACCTGAAATACTTTTTATTTTAGTTTTAACATTTGCGAAACAGTCACCAAATTTTACTGAATCAACAAACTGCAGAAGAAGAAGCATTTTGAAAGATTTTCACAGATTATTATATTTTCAGTAACCTTGGCAACACTGTATACCCTGGTGTAGTATACATTGTACCAAATTTTATAAGAATCGGACTAAACTGTATAGGGAGGTGCATTTTTGAAAATATCTAACATAAATGGCAAAACTGCTCATTGGAATCAAAAACTCTTAAACAGAACTATATATGTGTCCTGAAGTAGTAAACAGAATTATGTATCCTGAGGAAGAATGTATTCCTGATGAAGTCTTCTTGTATGCAAAATTTATTGCAATCAGACCCAATCGTGTACAAATAAACAAAAGGACAGACCAATGGACAACAGTTTAGAAACAGACAGATGAATGACAGACACATTACCATTACATAAGTTCTTCTGGTAGTTAACCAGTACATGTAGATATGAAATTCAGATGTATTCCCCCATATTTTTGGTTTCCCAGTCTTCTCCTTCAGGATTAGCTGTTAATTCAATAATACTGGATATCACAGTTCATCATGTTTCTGTAAAAGAACAATATCAGTAGTTTAAATTCAAAGTGTCCCATTTATTTGCTGCCCTGCTGTTAAAAAATGGTATATAAATGATTAATGAACAATATTATTTTTACTTGCTGTATACATGTACAACTGTTGACTTTTTAGTGTCTACTTAGATGATACCTGAGTATAAATCTCTCTTAAATGAATAGTATATTAGGCTTTCAGAACAATTAGAGTACATGTATAATTAACTTTAAAAAAAAAAAAAGTTTTAGCTAGCTAGTCCCAGCCAGCTGAATTAAGTGATAGATAGAATACATTATTATACCATTTAATTCTGTCATAACAATTATACAACTCCAATGAATAGTTTTCAAGAGATTCTATATTTTAAAGAAGAAATTGCAAGAATCATCTGAATCAGGTGCCATACTGACATAACTCCCAAATAGAAGCAAAAATTATTATGAAACTTGCTTAGTAACTAAATCATGCCATTTTGATTATTTTCACCCTTGCCTGACATTGCCTATCTGCTTTTACTTGGAGTTAGCAAAAAACTAAATATCAACCTGACACCCTTAAACTTTTTTTAAGTAACAGTGGCCTTGTTTTACATGTAGACTGGATCAAAATGAAAAGTGGGAAATTGTGTAGAGGACACGACTTATATTAATACCTCAAAGTCTCAGAAAAATTAATTTCTGAGGTGAAGATTTTTTAACATTGTTTACGCTGAAACTGCACAATCAGGAGAATTTGACATTTCAGGGGCCATAACTCCAACAAGGATTCAAAGAATTCAATGAAACTTGCTAGGTAGCTAAATCTTGCCATTATAATTATTTTCCATGAAGAAAGCTTTGCCTATTTGTATTAATGACTGAGTAATACCTGGTAGGCAAAAAACTGCAGATCATCTCCTTTATTTTATTTATAGAAACAGTGACCTTGTTTTGATTGGAATGAAATAAAAAGTGGATTGTTTGTAGCAAAAATCATGCACCACATCATCACTACAAAGTTTAAGGATATCCGATCCTCAGCCATGAAGGATATAACTCTTAAAATTATCATTTAATTAAAAACGTCTTAACATGAAGCTTGAAATTTAAAACAATTCATGCAACAATTTTTATTTTATGCATCTTAATATGATTCAAGGTTCTTTGAAGTTTTAGAAAGGGTCTTGTTAAAAGTTGACATTTGTACTCTATAAAAGTAAAAAATAAATACAGATTTAGAGAAATGGGATTTTCTTGAATCTAGCCTTAGTATATGAAATAAGAAGTGATCTGTGATGTCTTGCATTGATAGCACAAACTATTTACTCTACGTAATATGTAATTATGGAAGGAAATATAAGACCTAGAATACCGAAAAAGTATTAAATAAATATGCAAATTTCTCTGAATGCCCAGATACCTATAGTTTTTTTTTAACCTTAAATATATTTGTTGATCAATTTTCAGTTAGAAAATGAACAAAAGGTTGTTTCTATTCGCCATTTCTGAATATATATTGAAGATTTCATAATTTTCCCTATATAATGTGATTAACTATAATGATTAACTTTGAAGAAATACTTTGGGTAAATAAACATTACTTTGTGAATTCAGAGATATTTTTGTCAGCATTTTAAATTACTTACCTGCTGATTTTTTTAACCTGAGGATCGGAATACCTTAGGAAAAATCTGCCTTGTAGGTCAGAGGAGAAGATTTTTAAAAAAGGTTAATGACAACAATGGATGATGCTGACAGATGCCAGGTGATGGCATAAGCTCACTTGGACCTCTGAGCTAGATGGGCCAAAATTTTTTTTTTTCTTTAGGAAATGAAAACTCACTGAAACAATAAACTGTGTTTCCAAATGTCAACAATTTTAATCAACCCAGACTCTTTTTCTTTCCATATAAATTCACCAGGCACTAAGTCTCAGTGGTGTGACAAAGGAAACTACTGGTACATACACACAGAAAAGCAAGACACGCAGATACCCAATACTGAAAGACGTCCAGAAAAACTTATCTTGACCTTTTTTAATCACTTGCAGTCACACCTGGAGTCATCAGAATGACTTACCTTGATCTTTTTAATCACTTACAGTCACACCTGGAGTCATCAGAATGACTCACCTTGACCTTTTTTAATCACTTACAGTCACACCTGGAGTCATCAGAATGACTTACCTTGACCTTTTTTAATCGCTTACAGTCACACTTAGAGTCGTTGTCACTGGGCTGTTCTACAAGCTCCCAGGAATCATCTGGCCTGTCAGGCTTGGACACCAACAGGTCAGAAAATTTCTAAAAAAAAAAAAAAAAAAAAAAAAAAAAACTTTCTCATTAACATTTAAATAATAGAGGCTGAACAAATAATGATAAAGTTTATCTTTCAAATTATTAAAATTGCTACCGTAAATATCTAGGGGCACAGAACATAATAATTACAAGACATGAAAATGTATGTAGCTAGCACTTTACAAAATAACAAAGTTTTTCTATCTTTTTTGTCATAGCAATTAATTGTCTCACATGAGACATATGGTGGCAATTTTCACTTGATGATTCATAAAAGGAAAGATCTAGTATTTACTGTATGCTTATAAATCTCTGATATTCTTACCAGGGGTTGAAATATATTGTAGCCCCATTCCTGCATGAGGCTAGTCATTTTAAAACTCTGGATAGCTAATTTAAATGTAACAATAGTCTGTTGGACTAGCAGAATGGAAAAAAATTCTCGTCAGTTTACTTTGGCTTTTCTATGTAGACTGGTTTCTTTTGACTGAGAACTATTTTAATTTGCTCCTGTCACCAAAGCATTTGAAACTTTATTAACTAAAATATGTTTTCATTTTGCAAAGGCTCTAATTGGCGACTAATTTAGTCGCCATGGCGCCTAAAATTTTTGATTGGCGACTAAAAATTTTTCACAAGTTGCCAAATTGGCGACCATTTTCAATTGACTTGGCGATCATTAAATTCCGGAAATTTTCACATTTTTAACAATTTTTCTAAAAAAGCAAAAAGAAATTTAAAAGAAGAGGAAATTATTTTTAGCATGTCATGTTTTCTTAAGCACGTCATGGGTCCCTATATTTTATTAACTTTTAAGGTAAAAATTGCCTGGCAACTAAAAATTTGCATTGACGACTAAATATTTTTGATTAGGCACCAGCTGGCACCTAAATTTTATAGGCCACTTAGAGGCCTGTTTTGCATAACAAGAGGCCCAAGGGCCTTAACGGTCACCTGAGTATAATACAACAATTTAGAGAATCCATAGAGTATAAAATGAACTGAAAAGTGAAGCTTTGTTGCCCAAAAGCAAGAAAAATAGGGTGATCAGGTTCAACAAAATAATTAGTCTAGTGTTCATTAACAGTTCATAAATTAGGTTCTAATCTGTACCCCATTTATCACTATCACCATACAGTATATTAACAAACTATCAATGCTTCTGTACTATTTTAATTCCTTGTTGAAATCTCTTACATTGGACTCTCTTGGTCTTTGATGAACATTGAATAAGACAAGTTATTTTTGTCTCATTTTTATTTATCTATTACTTACAAGTCTACCTGATCATTAAAACTATGAAAGTACTTTTTGTATTATACAATAAAAAATCTTGCAAAATTCTCTTATTCTATTAACCTTTCAAGTACATTATTTACAGTGACTAATTATCAAAAGTAAATGGCAAAGGGGAATAACTCCCCTCAGTAGAATACAAATTAATAGAGCCCTGGCCAGGACCAGAACACTTGACAAAATGGCCCAGATGTTCAAAAATATTTATTAAAACTTTTACTCTTTTTGCCTCTGATATGCCCAGGTGCAGAGAAGATTTTCAAAGAAATAATGCAGTTTTTACTACAGATTCACTACATTATCAATAGAGCCCCCCAGCCCCCCCCACCCCCCCCCCCCCCACCTCCCATCCCCACCGAGAAACACCAGAGTCTCTCACCCTGGGACCAGAAGTTTATTCATCATACATGTAAGTAATCACTTTGTTTATCTGATTAACACTAAGGAGCAGACAGGATTATTTAACAGAATTAATGCATTTTCACTACATTATCAAGAGCCCCACCCTTACACCAGCACATCTGACCCAGGGGTCATGCAATTCACTACTCTGGAAGAAGTAATCATGCTCATCATAACTATACACTTAGCTTCTTTGCTTTTTAACCAGAAGCAGAAAAGAATATTTTCAGAGAAATTTTGCTTTTTCACTATATAATCAATAGAGCCCCCCCCCCCCCTTTTCACCAGAACCCTTGACCCTGGGGCCATGAAATTCACAATTTTGGAAGGGGCATACTTGCGTATCATAACAATGTACTAATAGTTTGTTTAAATAATACCCAGGCGCAGAGAAGAAGATTTTTAAAGAAATAATTCACCTTCACTATAGGATATATATGGCCCCACCCTAGCACCAGAACCCCTGATCCAGGGTCCATGAAATTCACAATTTTGGAAGAGGCATCCTTGCTTATCATAACTATGTATTTAATTTGTTTAAATAATACCCAGGAGTAGAGAAGATTTTTAAAGCATTAATGCATTTTCACTATATGATTTATATAGCCCAGCCCTAGCACCAGAACTCTTGACACTGGGGCCATGAATTTCACAATTTTGGTAGAGTCACCCTTGCTTATCATAACTATGTATTCAATTTGTTTCAATAATACCCAGGAGTAGAGAAGAAGATTTTCAAAGAAATAATGCACTTTCACTATATGATTTATATAGCCCCGCCCTAACATCAGAACCCCTGCCCCTGGGGCTATGAATTTCACAATTTTGGTAGAGTCACTCTTGCTTATCATAACTATGTATTCAATTTGTTTAAATGATACCCAGGAGTAGAGAAGAGGAATTTTCAAAGAAATAATGCACTTTCACTATATGACCTATATAGCCCCGCCCTAGCACCAGAACCCCTGACCCTGGGGCCATGAATTTCACAATTTTGGTAGAGTCACTCTTGCTTATCATAACTATGTATTCAATTTGTTTCAGTAATACCCAGGAATAGAGAAGAAGATTTTCAAAGAAATAATGCACTTTCACTATATGATTTATATAGCCCCGCCCTAACACCAGAACCCCTGACCCTGGGGCCATGAATTTCACAATTTTGGTAAAGTCACTCTTGCTTATCATAAATATGTATTCAATTCTGTTCAATAATACCCAGGGGTAGAGAAGAAGATTTTCAAAGAAATAATGCACTTTCACTATATGATCTATATAGCCCCGCCCTAGCACCAGAACCCCTGACCCTGGGGCCATGAATTTCACAATTTTGGTAGAGGGCTCAATGCTTATTACAATCATGTCAACAGTTTGACTGCTTGATGTCCAGGAGTAAAGAAGAAGATTTTTAAAGATTGCATTAATTTTGGTGGTTTTAGCCCCACCCCTCAGGCCCCAGGGGGGCAGGGACCATGAAATTCACAATTTTTGTCCCCCTTCACCCATAGATGCTATATGCCAAAATTGGCTGAAATTCGTTGAGCGGTTTCAGAGAAGAAGCTGAAAATGTTTAAATGTTAACGCACGACGCACGTCGCACGACGCACAACGACAGACAAAAACGGATAGCAATAGGTCACCTGAGTGACTCAGGTGACCTAAAAAAAGGTTGTTGGGCTAGTTAGGTTTGGGCCAGTAATTTTTTACTGATCAGTAGCCCCAGGGCTAGTGGGATTTCCAAGAAAATTTCAACCCCTGATTCTAACTATATATAAGTTGTTTTCCAATCACAGGATCAGATTATTGAAAAAAAAATTGTCACACCTGACAGCATTTTGAAATGAAATAATTTAGGAGTTTTCTTTCAATGAATCATAAATAAAACACCAAAAATATCATGAGTGTTTTTAATATTGCACAAATGAAATAGATTTTTTTAATTTTGAACACTGTTAACAATCCATTTTTTCTTTTTAATGAATTGGGCTTAAATTTTGAGAAACATATGAAATGCTATAAAAGATGATGTATGTTTTTACTTGTTATATTTTGACAATGTGAAGTACACTGTGACGGGAAAATTTCATTATAGCAAGATGAACAATGGCACAAAACAGCTACAGTGTATTCAAGATGGAATTACAAGTTCTTTCTCTTAAATATTAATTTCTCAATTAAATATTTGAATTTTTAAAGTTCCTTTTTACACTTGTACTTACATCAAACAATTTCAAATGATAGCAGAAAATGTCCTTTGGTAACAAATTTTCTCGGACAAATTCTTGAGCATTTCTGGAAATTTTCTTTGCCTTAAAATGCAAATAAAATGAAGTTCAAAAAAAGTTTTTAAAAATAATTTTAAAAAATAAAGAAATAATAAATAACTTACATAGTTTTCAACTATTTCAAAAAACTTAAAATGACTAAATCATGTAAATTGCAGTAATTTTATAACTAATTAATAGATAATTATTGTACCTCCTCATCATGACTTTTTGCCCATAATATTTTTTGTCGGAGGTCACTGAGGTCCCTTTTGAATGAAATGTAGTGTTTATTTGGGTCTAAGCTCTTGTAAAAATGTTCATAATATGGAGAGTCTTGTTTGAGCACAACAGAGTTACCTCCCATTAAATATGGAAATCTGTAGGCAGCAACAGTGCCATCTAAATTTATCTGATATTTATACTGAAAAAAAAAATATACATGTAAAAAACACAATGCAGTGAACTGGCTTTAGACATCATTTTTACTATCTTGTAGCTGGAATTTATTCATTATAGGGTTGTGCAAATATTTCTTTAACTCTGAATAAGCTATGCATACTTACATTAAAGAAATCAAAAAAAGGTGTAGATTTGACAAGCTCTCCATATTTTTCTGGTTCCTTTTTGAAGAAAAACATGTGAGTTAGTGCTGCATCTATAAGTTGTGGTTCTTTTCGTGACATAACAACGAGGTCAAGTCGCTCCTGTCGACTATCCCGTCCCCTCCAGAAAGCTTTCTCGGTCTTGTTCTCCCAGGCCACTTTGGTTGACTGGACAGATAGTGTGTCCAAAGTTACCCTTCAAAACAAAGGCCATAATTACTACTGTTCTAAAGGTCATTCATTATCATTAAATTTGAACATTTAATTTAAATTGTCACTCTTTCCTTGAAATGTCAAATTCAAGAAATTTATGCTGCAGTGAAGATCAAATAATTAACTTGGTTCTAAATATTATACGAAAAAAAAAATAGAACTCAAGATTTTCTTCCCAAAGAAATTGCAAAAATACTAGTAACCACCACAAGCAGTAAAACTGTATGCTGCAATACATATCTTCTTATTTTTCATTACATAAAAATAGAAAATTAAAAAAAATACTACAAAATCACTGAACTTTTGGTACATGTGTATGGAGAGACTCAAAAATGAATGTCCTCCAATGTTGAAGTTTCAAATTACTGTATCATGTTCATATCAATCAAATCCCCAAATATCAATATTTATTCCTCAAGCCATGGGAATTAATTTCACACCAGAAAATAATTGACTTTACAATTAAACTAAGTCTATCAGAAAATTGTTTATTCTGAAATAAATGTAATATGAAAATACGATAGTACTGAACTGAAAAATAAAACTTGATCGATTCTTTGAAATTTAAACAAGAGGCCCAAGGGCCTTAACGGTCACCTGAGTATAATACAACAATTTAGAAGTTAAATACACTGACAGATGAAGCTTTTTTGCCCTAAAGCAAGAGAAGTAGGAAGATCAGGATCAACAAAAATAATTAGTCTAGTATTCAGTATCAACTCATAAATTAAGTTCTAATCTGTGCTCCACTTAACACTATCACCATGCAGACTATTAACAAACTATTAGTGCTTCTGTACTATTTTTAAACCCATATTAAGACCTCTAGCATTGACCTCTCTTATGGTCTTTGAAGAACTTTTAATAAGATAAGTTATTTTTGTCTCATTTTTATTTATCTATTACTTACAGGTCTACCTGATTATTAAAACTAAGAAAATACTTTTTGAATTATATGATAAACATTCTTGCATAATTATTTTATTCTATTTACCTTTCAAATACATTATTTACAGTGATTAATTATCAAAAGTGAACGGAAAAGGGGAATAACTTCTCTCAGTAGAATACAAATTAATAGAGCCCTGCCCAGGACTAGAATGCTTAGACAAATGGTCCAGATGTTCAAAAATCTGGTAGAAATACGCTTACTTATATCATTTAAACTTTTACTCAGTTTTCTTCCGATATGCCCAGAAGCAGAGAAGAATTTCACAGGTACAATGCATTTTCACTACAGATTCAACAAAGCCTTACCCTAACACCAGAACCCAAGACCAAGGGTCAAGAAATTTACAGATTTGGAAGAGTTACCCTCATCATCATAACTATGGACTTCGAAGAATTAACACTTTTCCACTATATTATCAAAAGCCCCCCCCCCCCCCCTCGTTAATGCCAGAACCCCTGACCCTAGGACCACAAGATTTAAAAATTCTGTTCAAAGCTCCCATTTTCATCATAGCTAAGCAATTTATTTATCAACTCAATGCTAAGGAGCAGACAGGATTAATTAATGATTAATTAATAGAATTAATGCTTTTTCACTATATAATCAATAGAGCCCCCCCCCCCCCCCCCCCCCTTCCTCAAGAGCTCCGAAAACTGAAGCCACATATTTAAAAATTTTGGAAGAAGCATCCTTGCCTATCATAATCATGCACTTAGTTTGTTTAAATAATCTCCAGTAGCAGAGAAGATTTTCAAAGAATCAATGCATTTTCACTATATAATCAATAGAGCCCCGCCCTAACACCAGAACCCCTGACCCTGGGGCCATGAAATTCAAAATTTTTGAAAAGGCACTTTTGCTCATCATAACTATGTACTTAGTTACTTTATTTAATACCCAGGAGCAGAGAAGAAGATTTTCAAAGAATTTATGCTTTTTCACTATATAATCTATAGAGCCCCGCCCTAACACCAGAACCCCTGACCCTGGGGCCATGAATTTCACAATTTTGGAAGAGGCTCTCTTGGTCATCATAACTATGTACTTAGTTACTTTATTCAATACCAAGGAGCAGAGAAGAAGATTTTCAAAGAAATTATGCTTTTTCACTATATAATCTATAGAGCCCCGCCCTAACACCAGAACCCCTGACCCTGGGGCCATGAATTTCACAATTTTGGAAGAGGCTCTCTTAGTCATCATAACTATGTACTTAGTTACTTTATTTAATACCCAGGAGCAGAGAAGATTTTCAAAGAATTAATGCACTTTCACTATATGATGTATATAGCCCCACCCTGGGGCCAGAACCCCTGCCCCTGGGGCCATGAATTTCACAATTTTGGAAGAGGCACTCTTGCTCATCATAACTATGTACTTTGTTACTTTTTTTAATACCCAGGAGCACAGAAGAAGATTTTCAAAGAATTAATGCATTTTCACTATATAATCAATAGAGCCCTGCCCTAACACCAGAACCCCTGACCCTGGTGCCATGAATTTTCACAATTTTGGAACAGGCACTCTTGCTCATCATAACTATGTACTTAGTTACTTTTTTTAATACCCAGGAGCACAGAAGAAGATTTTCAAAGAATTAATGCATTTTCACTATATAATCAATAGAGCCCCGCCCTAACACCAGAACCCCTGACCCTGGGGCCATGAATTTCACAATTTTGGAAGAGGCTCTCTTGGTCATCATAACTATGTACTTAGTTACTTTATTCAATACCCAGGAGCAGAGAAGAAGATTTTCAAAGAAATTATGCTTTTTCACTATATAATCTACAGAGCCCCGCCCTAACACCAGAACCCCTGACCCTGGGGCCATGAATTTCACAATTTTGGAAGAGGCTCTCTTGTTCATCACATCTATGTACTTAGTTACTTTATTTAATACCCAGGAGCAGAGAAGAAGATTTTCAAAGAATTAATGCACTTTCACTATATGATGTATATAGCCCCACCCTGGGGCCAGAACCCCTGCCCCTGGGGCCATGAATTTCACAATTTTGGAAGAGGCTCTCTTGGTCATCATAACTATGTACTTAGTTACTTTTTTTAATACCCAGAGGCACAGAAGAAGATTTTCAAAGAATTAATGCATTTTCACTATATAATCAATAGAGCCCCGCCCTAACACCAGAACCCCTGACCCTGGTGCCATGAATTTCACAATTTTGGAAGAGGCACTCTTGCTCTTCATAACTATGTACTTAGTTACTTTATTTAATACCCAGGAGCAGAGAAGAAGATTTTCAAAGAAATAATGCACTTTCACTATATGATCTATATAGCCCCACCCTGGGGCCAGAACCCCTGACCCAGGGGCCATGAATTTCACAATTTCTGAAGAGGACTTCTTGGTCATCATAACTATGTACTTAGTTACTTTTTTTAATACCCAGAGGCACAGAAGAAGATTTTCAAAGAATTAATGCATTTTCACTATATAATCAATAGAGCCCCACCCTAGCACCAGAACCCCTGACCCTGGGGTCATGAATTTCACAATTTTGGAAGAGGCTCTCTTGCTCTTCATAACTATGTACTAAGTTACTTTATTTAATACCCAGGAGCAGAGAAGAAGATTTTCAAAGAAATAATGCATTTCACTATATGATCTATATAGCCCCACCCTTGGGCCAGAACCCCTGACCCTGGGGCCATGAATTTCACAATTTTGGTAGAGGGCTCAATGCTTGTTACAATGATGCCAACAGTTTGACTGCTTGATGTCCTGGAGTAAAGAAGAAGATTTTTAAAGATTGCATTATTTTTGGTGGTTTTAGCCCCACCCCTCAGGCCCCAGGGGGGCAGGGACCATGAAATTCACAATTTTTGTTCCCCTTCACCCATAGATGCTATATGCCAAATTTGGTTGAAATTGGTTAAGCGGTTTCAGAGAAGAAGCTAAAAATGTTCAAATGTTAACACACGACGCACGCCGACGGACGAGAACGGATAGCAATAGGTCACCTGAGTGACTCAGGTGACCTAAAAATTTGATGAATTAATGATTTTTTTTTCTTTGCATTATGTAGCAAACAGCTTATTACAGAAGAGTCATTAAATCTTCCATGTGAAGGTTACCGAGACATCATTTGGAGGGTGGATTCTGTGAGGTCATAGGTTGGCATGACAATGTCCTTGGTGTCATCTGATCCACACCATGAGAATATTGGGATTGGATCTTCTGCCAGAGATTTCTTCTCTAGGGGCCAATCGCCAAGATTTACAAAGAATTCAGTGTCAGGAAGAACAACCTACAAAACCCATTATTAAGTTCATGTATACAAGAGCACATGTACACATCAGCAATAGCAAATAACTTTAAGGGTATATGTATTATAGTAATTATAAATCACAATTTCATATGAGAACTCTAGCAAGTATCCCTCATTAATAATACAACCAAAAAACTCATTTGGAAAAAGGCTAAAAATACTGTACATTTCTTTTGTTTTTTTTAACAGCTCCAGGTCTGATATTACAAATATGTTTATGAACACTACATATGATACCTCAAGCTCTGGCAAGTATTCTACTATAAGGATTAATTATAATTCTCAGAATAATCCAATCGCCTGTAGATTGCATGTTTATAAGAAGTATGAATTCCTTTTCGTCAATGGTGTTGCAGCTTTAGTACTTTTAACATGGAAATTTACATGTTGAGGTATAATTAAAGCTAAATATGTAATAAGAAATCTTTCACGAAAATAATTCCAAGTTTACTAGTGCCTTTGTGATTTTTCTATTTATTACCTTTAATACTCCTCCCCCCATATATGGTTTTTGCTGTAAATATGCTTACTTAACATGGGTAACTAATCCACATTTATGTTCCTTAGATTCATCTGATGGATTAACAGAAACAGATAAATATACAATGTAGGTTGCCTTCTACTTGCTTAATAAGGAGCATCAAAGAGGATGTCCAAAAACTTGGTAAATGTTGATTAAAAGTTTATTTTTTTAATCATACCTTTCTGGTCAGAGAAAGTAAGATAGCATCACTGAACATTTTAAATCCAACATGTTCTCCGTATGTCTTTCTATAAATCTGTAATGCAATACAAATTTTGTTCAGGATAAAAAAAAAACATTCAAATTGTCATTGTTTTTTTTTAAATGTGCAGAAAAATGCTTTCTATAAATATTCACCACATCAAGACTTAAAAAGATTTCAACTGCAACTACTTAGCTGTTATGATGTTGTACAAAGTGTATAAAACTTTGTCTGTCATACTTGTATCTATCAAATTTTGTTGTTGATGATGTGGTTGTGTGTAGAACTGTATCATATTTTGTTGTTGATGATGTGGTTGTGTGTAGAACTGTATCATATTTTGTTGTTGATGATGTGGTTGTGTGTAGAACTGTATCATATTTTGTTGTTGATGATGTGGTTGTGTGTAGAACTGTATCATATTTTGTTGTTGATGATGTGGTTGTGTGTAGAATTGTATCTGCCATATTTTGTTGTTGATGATGTGGTAAGAGTGAAAGACTGTACATGTCTAATTTATATATATTTTGTTGCTGATGATGTCATGATATGTAAGGTTGTGTATCATACATTGTATTTATTTTGGATATTGATGATGTGGTAGTATGTAAAACTATACATGTCATATTTATTTTGTTGCTGATGATGTGGTGGTGTGTAAGGCTGTATGTCTATTTTTGTTGCTGATGAAGAAAGTTTGTTAGAATTAATTACATGTCGACTAAAAATAATTTTTCTTAATGATGAAATGGTTATGCATGTCATATTTATTATGTTGCTGATGTTTGAATGTGTAACACTATATATATGTTTACTTTGTTGTTTTATATCACTCTGATGAAAAGGTTACCTTGTTGTTGATGATACAGTACTGTGTAAGACTATGTATGTTGTGATTATGTTGTTTACTTCAATATGATATGTTATTAAGAAGTTGTTTAAATCGATGTGAAGGTTACCTTGTTGTTGATGATACGGTAGTGTGTAAGACTGTGCATGCCCTTCTTGTTGAAGCGACTAATGGCTTCTGCTGCCACTTTATTGAGGTTGACTTTTTTAAATATGGACAGATCTTTGTCTATCTGTTTGTAAGAGTCAGGGCAGTCATGTGATGTATACCATTTCTCTATATTACTCATTGGGCAGTAACAGTCTTCATGGTACACCATTCCTAAAGAAAGGAAAGCAAGAGTTATCTCTCTTGTATTGTTGATCATAAAACAAAATTGATGTAATGATTGCACTATTAGTGGTAAAATATGCATGTTATCTATCATAATTGCATTGATTTTTGACATGTATTGGCAGTTTTAAGGACCTGTATCTCTGTTTCACATCGATGATAACATTTGGCATGATCAGCTTTAAAATAACCTTTACATATTCTTACTAAAATGACAATGCTGAAACTGACAGGTTGAAACAATTAACAGAGGGTCAAATGCATGTCATAGACTGCATTTACCAGTCTGTATCATGAAAATAAAGATTACAGCCAGCCTATAGGTGTATCTGCTGGTTGATGTATTAAATATATTTTCCCCTGGGTTGATTAACGACCCTGATCATGACAACCAACTTAGACCACCCTGTCTAGATGTTATAGGACGACTCACCTCTCAGGTAGTAAGGGGATTTAGAGACATGGTTTTCATTGTGTAGTAGGTTTATTCTCAGACTGCTGTAAGTGACAAATGGACGGAATCGTACGACATAGCTGCCATCAAATAGGTCCAAAACTTGGGCGTAAATGCGGGCTCGGCTCCCATCCTCCTGAGTTACCTTCACTTCAAAAGCTTTTTCTCCAAGTGAATGTGTAAAACTACAAATATATATATATATAGTTTTTTTTTTTTTTTTTTTACATGAAATGACAATAAAAATATATAGTTAGAATTAGATGCAAGTATATACACTCTACTAATTAATTTTATCTTTTATAATTAGATTTCAACATATTTTTTTTAAAGTATGTTTAATATATGTACTAATGTGTACAGAGATTTGAAGAATTCGTGAACGAATAAAACATAAAATTTTGGAGGTCACAGGGTTGCAAAAAACAAGTTAAAAATTAGACTTTGAAGATCATGTAAAAAAGCTTATGTTCTGAATTTATTATCATAAATATACCAATTAGCATACATCAATGTATCAAGTTGTATTCTATTTTGAGAGTTATGCTAGCATATTTATATTGAATAGGAAAAAAAAACCCAATCCTTTGGTTTCAAAATATTTTCACAAAATTTGCACCTTGAAAAATTGTATGTTAATGTAAAATAAAAACCACAAAATCAAAAGCAAATAAGAAAAAAATCCCACTAAAACCACATATGTAACATGCAAACTCCTCATTATTCAGAAATCAAATATAGCATTTAACCAAATGGGAACATGTTGACAACTTTAGCATTGATCTGCTAGTACTCACACACTTAGTGCAGATTAATGTATATAATGCATTGAAAAGAAAGACTAAGATAAGCAGCTGCTTTCTCTTCCAACATTCAACTTTTTAAATTTCCTCTTACATTTTAATTAATTAATTCATGAAAAATAAATAAATCAATCTCCCAAACAATTTCTTTAATTCTATTTACTAATCAGATACATCATTTCTTTTCACTTTTTATGTCTGTCATTTGTTGTGGTAAATTGTTGATTTAATGTACAAGCTGTCATTCTTCTGTCATTTTGGATGAAGACTGTATAATCTATGTCCCACACACCATTTTACGTAAAATAACCGGTCATATGATAATACCTGCTACAATACCTCCCAGTATTTCCTTTCACTTAGCAGATAAAAACTACAGATATCTGATCTGGAAACCAGGGCCATAAGATAGCATCGTGAACTTTTTCAAAGGTCTCTCCCCTTAAGGGAAAAATTCACATGTAATCCTGAGGCAGTCAACATTAATGAAGGACAAATTTAGCCATCTTGTTACCCGTCAGCTGGGATTTACAGTTATGTTTTATCAGTGGCCCAAGTCGGACAGTTTTCTTTTATGAACACTGTCATCTATTTATCATATTTATGTAATAAATTGTACAGAAAAGAACAGACATATGGCACACAAACTGCTTAAACCCATTACTCATTACACAAAAAAATGTATATATCAGGATTCAGATAAAAAAAATAAATTTGTTGACTTAGCCTGTGCAATGAAACTTTAAAGTTGTATATATTCATGTCCATTTGAGAGTTTGCAATAGGATCTATCAATATAGACTGTACATTAATTCACATAATTATTATATTGAGAGAATAAGCTGGATCAGTGATGGGTATAAAACACCTGACCTCAGCTAGAAATATGCAGTCAAACCACTAATCATAACTCACATCTTAATATTGAAAATCAGAAATATATATACAAGTGACATTAGAATTGAAGAAATTAAGTCAGAGATGGTAAGAAATGAGATGGAAATTCAAGCACTCTTTTGTACAATTTAGGTACAATTCTACATAAAAAAAGGTTAGGCATATTTGTTACATACATAACATTTACCCATAAAGGTTATCATATGTCTTTACAAATTATATAAATTTGTATTGCAGATAATTTATTTACTACATTTGTGTATTTTAAATAACATTAATTAACTTAAATAAAGAAACATGTGTGATACTTGTATTAGTACATACTGACACCAAACTTCATATTTGTAATTAAGACAGGGTTTTTTCACCTGTCTGTATGGAATTCACAACATTATTTATTAATTGTGAGGTAAAAATGAATGTTTGTTTACACGCTATGCACGTAGTAGTGTATTTCTATTCAGTTGTCATTCAGCAATTAATCTTGTTTTTAATTACTGCAGCTTGTTATTAAACTAAGGTAACTAAGGTCTTAGGCCTGTGTTAGATGCTGTTTGTTCTGAACTACATCGTTCATATTAGCTTTGCTTCCTGTTGCCTGAGGATTCTATTACTTAAAATACCTTGTCCTTGGACACCCTTCTTTACCTTGTATCTTTAATGGCTAATTCCGTCTACTGAATTCTTTATGATTCATATTCTGATCTTATCCTGATTTAAATGTTATCAAAATCTTTGGTTTTTCTTTTCTTTGTGAGGATACCCTACATTCCTCTGTTACACTACATTGACAACTTTCTAATTCTTAAAGGTGAGGATTAGGGAGTTTCTAGAAGTTGGTCCAATGATAGATACGAAGTTAGTGATTATGTCAAATGGGTCAGGCCAATTTCAATTAATATATCTACCCTTCTTTTAATCTTTGAACTGAAAACTAATAGCAACAGAATTCAGATGCATAAATTAGTTATTGAATATGAGATAATTTAAGCTAAGACACATGTTCATATCAAATATTCCTTACGGTTAAAAAAAACAACAGAGCAAGTGTCTTGCAAAGTTGGAAACTGAAAAACCAAACTTCTTTCTCTAACAGTTCTTGATTCTACTTCGTCAACGCTATGATAGACTATACTTCATCAGTAGCAATTAAAAATTATCTTAAATATATGTCACTATTCAATATAAATATATTTTTTTATATATTTTTGTATTATTAATATTTATGGAATCTCGATCATCTACCATGCAGTTATTAACAACATTGAGATTGGCTGAGATTTCACAAAAATTTCGGAGGATGCCTCATGGTCTAGTGATCTTTTTGTCATCAAACAGAACTCCACCCAGATTTAATATTATCTGTATAAAATGGGTGTTAGGAACTGAAAGCTTTAAAGTGATTAAGAAATATGAAACCCACCCTCAACCCTATTTTGCCAAAATAAATACATGTGTTTTTTAATTCATATATTAATGTCGCAGAGACATTAGTTCCATCCGATACGTAGGGTGTTAAAATGTTAAAAATCGACACTTACTTTTAGCAAGATCAATGGGTCTATGAGCGTAAATGTTTATCATACTACTAAAAATTGATTCAGCAGGCCAGAAAAAAAGGCCCATCAATGTAACTTAGCAATAATGACTCTTATCATAAAGGGACTGCTTTGATATTTTTTTGTCATTCAATAAGAGTAAAGCATTGAGAGATGAAATAATGTATACATAAAATTTGCCTGTGCAATGCAGCTTTAAGGAAACATATTGAGTTATTATGATCGATCTCTTATAACTAGCAGACTGTTATATTCACTAAATACCCAAGTACAAGTTTATAATATTGAGGGAGGAGGGGTTGACTTTCATAACTTTTCAAAATTTCCAAAATAGCAAAGTTTAAATTAAAATGGGACTTCCTTATGTTTGCCAAAATCTGAATCTTGCACATGTAAATGACATTATACATGTATGACACTGTATGGTCCTTTACCAGTTCAATGGACTGCAACACATTAAAACTGCTGGGTTGTTATTATTAAAATTGGATACAGCGCCACATCAAACAAATGAATATTAAAATGTGAACTCTCCTGACCTCTTTAAAAAGTCCACAATCAATATACAAATAATATTTGTATCAATTCTGGTAAACAAAATTTACCTTAAAAAGTGACAAAACTCTGTTAAGAATATTATTAATGAACTAGTGAAACCATGAAATTGCAAATTCAGTCTTAGCACTTGAACATTTTGATGGATGAAGTTGGTGCTTAAACTCTTAAAGTCTTCTGCTGAACCATCATTAGGAGTGTTACATTTAAGTTGTCAATATAGCATACAATGTATGCTGTCGGAGTAATCAATACAAATTTTGGTTGATGGGGTTACCATACACAACCTGTTGCTAAGGAAATTTTTTTTACAGACTTTAAACACCTGCTTAGATCAATATAACCTGGAATGGTGGATGTATTAATATTTAACCTGATGAATTTAATGGAGCAATAAAAATTAAATACCAAGCTGAATTACTTTTAAAGACAGAGAAAAAGGGCTAAAAACAAATGTTAAAACACCAATTTTTGACAAAGTGACAGAATCTAAATCATACATATAAATGATTTATATATATTTACACGTGTGATATTACATGTAGCTGGCCATCTTCCCAATATGTAAAGGCTTTGTGGTTACATGTCTATATATCTCAGACAAACAAAGCCTTAATTGACATTTTGAAGATGCTACATGGACCATGCATCAGGTATAATATACATGTAAGGGATTCATGAGAATTTTTTAGAGAATATTATACATTATGAAAACTAATACAATGTACTTCCTAGAAATGCCACTAAAACTCAAAAAAATATCTACAGCTTCGTGTAATCACTTATAATGATGTCTGCAGGGTAGCAGAGTGGTTAACGCATTTGTGATCCGAGTTCGATCCCTGTGATCAGGGTTGTATGTCACAGTGAGAGGGTAAGGTGGTCGCCCACTTGGACACATGGGTTTTCTCCATGCAGGTACCATTGTCTCCTCTCACAGATATGACCCAACATCCGTGCATTAAAGGACCCATTGGAAAAATGTTTTCAAATTTCCATGGGCTGATTCCTTGGTATCATAAATATGTATTTATATATATATACTAAATAAATATATCTTTTTTAGGGTATAGGTCTATATGAATATTTCATAACCCCAAAAATTTAAGGAATGCTTAACAATCCTTACATGTCATGGAACAATGTGTTTTAATAAAAGTGGACATAACTTTCCCCTATCTTTTCTTTTCACCTTCTGAAGTTATTTTTGGAGTTGTAAGTCCCCTGAAATTCCTAGTTTTCCCTCTCTCTTTTTGAAATTTCAGGATTTATCCCTCACTTTTACAGTTCATTTTCAAAGACATTTGAGAGTTTTAAGGCCCTCAAATCTCCTAGTTTGCCCTCTCTCTTTATAAACTTCTGGATCTACCCCTCACCATTGCAGTTCATGTATAAAATTCTTAGAAACATTTTATTTTATAAATATGGAATTCAAGTTCTTTCTGTGAAATAATATTAAAGAAATTTAATATCAATTAAGATTTCTATTTCTACAGTTTCTGAGTAATAAGATGTTTTATATCAGATGTCACATGACTTTAGACCTTAACTCCTTAAGGCTTTATGCTTTTGAACATGAATAAGGAGTAAATGTGATGGAAACCATAACCCTGTCATCATTTGTTACATGTATATGAATTTCATATGTGATTAATGAATGAAATGCATAGAATTAAGAAAAAACTTTAAATTTCCAACTCTTAGAATTATTAATTTGCAACTGTCCGTGACACATGGCAGCACTTAATTTGTATCTGTGTATCATTCTATAATGAATTAAATACATGATCATCATTAGAGGGGGGAAAAAAGGAATGAAATGAAATTTTTTCAAAAATATATTCTTTGGTATAATTTATCAATAGAAAAGTTTTATGAGGAATAAAAATATTATAGACTGTATCACATACTCTTTGTTAAAAATTCTGAGGTAGTAAAATGTCTCAGACGACAATACATGTTTGCATAGGAATTTAATTAAAATGCATGCTTCTTCTTCAAGTTCTTTTCAAGATAAAAAATTGAACACAGATGACACTACAGGTGGCATAAAGCATTAGTGAATAAGTAATCTTTAAAGATATGTGAATTAAATAAAATTTGTCATATATATTTAAAATTTTTATTCAGAATACAATCTGACTTCTCAGGGCTTAATTGACCTTTTTTTGTAACAGGGACCCCCTTGTACCCTTTCAATAGTGAATTTTCAATTTTAAAAAAAAGTGGCAAAATTGGAAATATTGATTTCTTTTATTTAGTTTTACTGTTAAATAAATAGTTACTTTGTCAGCTTATTTCCTATTCAAATCTTAATGAATCATTAAAATCCCAAAATTCAAAAAAAAAAAAATTTAAAATGAAAAGCACTTAAAAATTTAACCTGCATGTCATTTGGAAATTTTTATTGAAATTTTTTGGGGAAAGAGTAAATTTTCAATTAAGACTGATTCCTTTTACAGGACCTGGATGCAAGGGTTATTAATTAAGCTTTAAAAAACATACCTCTAATTAAAATTGAAGATTCAATTTTCAATCTGACATGTTACTGATGCAATGATTAAGAAATAAATTGACATGCACTTGTGTATCATATTTTTATATGTTTAGCTATTTAAGAGCATAATGCAATCTGCACTCTGTATCAATTATCAAACTGGAAAGTGAAGAGACAATAGATTCTGATAAATGTTGCCGCTAGGGCCTAGTGACAGAGAAGATATATACGTGAGGGGCTTTAGAATAAATACATACTTTTCTCCAAACTGGTCCACAGCCTGGACAAAAAAATATCTGGCAGGTAAAGATAACCTGGCCTTAAGACCGGGTCCCCAGACGATAGTCTTATCTAGGGACAGGGTCCTCGATCCCGACTGTTCGGCTCCTTGTGCAGACGATCTTTCAACCACGAGCATCAAAAACGAAAGCACTAAGTACAAGCGCGTTGAACAAGCACACATGTTAAACTTCAGTGGTAAGAAACACAGATTTTCACTTGGTGATATGTTAAGGAATTTCAAACTCTCAAAGATACAGCTTATTCATTGCGTCTCAAATGTCAACAACGTTGTGTGTCAACATGTGGTGCGTACGATTGTCAACTTCCGCTGGCTTTTCCGAGATAACTCCCTATAAAATTAGCACTATAATGACTCTCGGACCAAAACGGTTATAAGTGTAATTTTTTTCCACCCAAACAATATTACTATTACAAATATAGACAAAGTTTATGGGAAAAAACCTAAGTACATGTATGCTGCATATCATTTGTTAAAAAAGAGAAACTGCATACAAAAAAAAAATATATTGAAAAGATACCACAAATAATGATAACTTGAAGCGATATTTTGATTGATTATGGTTGTTTTACGCCGAGATGGCAATTAATATTTCAGCCATATTAAGCAATATGAAAATTGCTACAAAATGTTAAAATGGTATATTCTTTGATTACAATACGGTAAAAAGAGGGGGAAAACATATAAATAAATTTTCGTCTTTAAGAGCAAATTAAACACACAAGATATTAGTTTTAGAAAGATGGAAAATTAATTAATTTGATAGAAAGACATATTCGATGCTAAAATATATAGTAAGACTCTTATCATTCGATAGATTTCACACAATTTGTAATTTTTTTTCTTCTGCATGGGCGAAAAGTTTCATGCTTGTCAACGAAAAATAGCACCAAGGATAGGCAACGCGCAGTGCTTTGAATGAAAACGATTGGCATCTGTCATCCATCGAACGTATTCAAAACACTATTCCTCGTGTACATGAACTTTTACAAGACTGCTCATGTATACTATCCCCCCTCCTTTTTTTTTCTTTTTACAGATGTAAAACACCGAATAAATAAGATGTTTAATGTACACATTATGACTTGATAAAGAATAACACTACAAACAATGGTATCTAAAACTTCAAAGAATAAAATCATTGCAGTTATCATTTGTAAGCGTGAGCTCTTCATTAGACATGCGTCGAAACGGGGGGGGGGGGGGGCTGTGTGTACGTATATGTATGTATGAAAATTCGAAAGGGGGGGGTTATGCCTGTCCCACTTTTTAGGACATAGTCCCCATTTTTAAAAAAAGTACGTTGTTAAATGAGCCCCCCCCCCCATTTTCCCATTTTTCCAGCACTTATGGATACATAATATGAAAATTATATATAACTTCTATAAAGATCGGCAGTTCTACACCATGTGGATTAATCAACTTACCCAGAATTTATTTCCATGTCATCTTGTTACATGTATTTCCCTCCAAAAAAATTAAGGTTAGGACCGGTACCTAAAATTGCTATAGTTTTAGTTCATTTTTATTCCCCCTCCTCCCCGAAAAAAAAGAACAGCATACTGTCCAGTATATATAACTATATACTGTCCAGTATAGGCCCACTGCATATATTTTTTAACTCCTTGAGTTCACAAACAATCTATAATTTAAACGGTTAATCTTCGGCGGTCGCAAGACGAAATTCTTCCTAGACCTTTTTGTTGAGTACGAGGACTTGTATTTTCATTGTTTTGGACAGCAGGTTCAATGGATGACTGCTGTCAATCATTTTCTTCTTAAGCACTGGGTATTACCTTTTGCTGGTACTATTGTTCATTGACCAATCTAATTTAAATTAGATGTTCCGAATCCGCTACCGCTTCTCAAACGATTCGGAACATCTAATTTTAATTAGATTGGTTCATTGACAAGTATGAAAATGTTTAATTTATAGTGAAAATGCATAAATTCTTTAAAAATCTTCTTTTCTGCCCCTGGGTATTATGTAAACAAACTAAGTGCATGGCTATGATAAGTAAAGATGCCTCTCCCAAAATTAGGAAATTCATGGCCCCAGGGTCGGGGGTTCTAGTGAGAGGGGTGGGCTCTATTGGTTATATAGTGAAAATGCATAATTTATTTGAAAATTGTCTTTTCTGCTCCAGGTTATAAAGCAGAGAACTAAGTGTATATTTATAATTATAATGAGCAAGGGTGCTTCTTCCAGATTCATGGTCCCTGGGTCAGATGTTCTGGTGTATCGATAATACGTATAGTAAAAATGCATTAATTTTATTAAAAAATCTTGTCTGCTCCTGGGTATAAAGCAGATAAATACAGTGCATAGTTATGATGAGCAACGGTGCTTCTTCCAAAATTTTCGGTCCTTCGCATGAGACCGTATAAACCGAGGTCCCGTGTCGCAGTAGGTGCTGGCACGATAAAATCCCTTCACTGCTCAATGGCCATAAGTGCCGAGTATAGGACAAAAATTTGCAGCTCTCCACCGGCAAGTGGTGCCGTCTCCATATGAGTGAAAAATTCTCGAGAGGGACGTTAAACAACAAACAATCAATCAATCAATCTTCCAAAATTTTTAAGACTTGTAGTCCCGGGGTCAGGCCAGGGGTTCTGGTGTTTCCCGGGCGGGTGGGGGCTCTATTGATAATATAGTGGAAATGTGTTAATTCTTTAATTCTTTGCAAATCTTCAACTAAGTGAACTATATCAACTAAATATAGTTATGATAAGCAGGAGTACCCCTTCCGAATTTCATGATCCTGGGTTCTTATATTAGGATGGGGCTGTGTTGAATCTATAGCAAAAATGTATTATTTCTTTGAAAATAAAATCTTCTCTGCTCCTGGGCATCTCGGATGCAGAATAAATGTTTTAATAATGGTATTTTAACCAGATTTTTGTTATTCTGGACCATTTGGTCAAGTGTTCTGCTGCTGGCCAGGGCTCTTTTAATTTGTATTCTATTGAGAGAAGTTATTACCCTTTGCCATTCACCTTTGATACTGTAAATAATGTATTGAAAGGTAAATAGAATAAGAAAATTATGCAAGAACTTTTATTGTATTTATAATACAAAAAGTACTTTGATAGTTTTAATGATCAGGTAGACTTGTAAATAATAGATAAATAAAAGTGAGACAAAAATAACTCATCTTATTAAATGTTAAATCTTCCACAGAGACCAAGAAGGCGGGTGTGAGAGGTAAATATATGGGGTTTAATATAGTATTGAAGCACTATTGTTTTCTTAATAGTCTGCTTGGTGATAGTTATAAATGAGGGCAGTTAGAACTTATTTCATTGATCCTAATCATCCTGTTTCTCTCGCTCTTGGGTAACAAAGCTTTGTCTATCAGTTTATTTTATACTTCTGTGGATTCTCTAAATTGGTGTATTATATTCAGGTGACCGGTAAGGCCCTTGGGCCTCTTGTTTATTACACTATGAAATACATATCGGAGTCAGGAAAATTTACCGGTTATACGCTTCCTATATTTCAGGTGCCAGACTCTTTAAGGCTTGTAAATTTCATAAAAGATAAAGAAGGTCTATTTGATCACGATCTGGTTCTTAGTTATATTTACCACTCTGGTCATCAATTAAGTGTTCCAAAGGCTTTTAAACGTCGAAGGCTCTCCTGGGCGTCCCAGTGCTAGTTTAGATCACTATCCCCCTCCCCCTCCAAATAAAGTCCTTGTTTCATTTTTTTTCAAGTGATCTTGTACTTGAATAAAGCATTCAGACCCTATGGAATCTTGCAGGGATCTATATAGTACTATAGGTCCCTGATGGAATAGATCTACCTTTTTCAGCACAGTATTATGCCAGAGTATGGAAATGGTCATGAATGTATAGAGAGAGAGAGAGAGAGAGAGAGAGAGAGAGAGAGAGAGGTTATAGTATAGAAGAATGATTTTTATTAGAATCTTCATTAAATCCAACAGCTAACTATTTTAAGTTATAAAAAATAAGTTTAATCATAGTTCTTGTTTTAAAAATGGGAGAATCATGGTCTAGTTAATAATGATCAATTAATCCAGTAAACATTTCATGACGCTTGGGCCTTCTAACGCTTCAAAATCGGCTGATTACCATTCACTAGATATTATACAATCACAGGTCTGTAAATGTACAGGTGTGTTAATGCATAAATATTAAGACTTTCAGTCAATTTAACATTTTGATTGAATAGCTGGAACTATGTGCAATGAATACATAAATGAAATTGCTGATACAAAAATCTACATTTTTTTAACGTGTTTGATTTTAATATTTTTTACACCGAGTTCTAATTTATACGAGGGAGTTAAAATATCAATAAGAACAGCCCCGCGAGAACATGCGCAAACATCGTTCTTTCTCGCAATTTACCGTCGAAGACGCCATTATCGTTCTCCGAGACAGGGGCCGAGATTTGGGCAATAGTTCGAGTTTTGCAGCGCCAAACATCACCAACGCGTGTTTGAAGGTATTTCTTTATATCAGGCACACGTATGAATGAAAAAAGTCATGGAAAATGATCACATGTACTCAGTAAGTAAAAGGTCACTATCGGTCGAATTGTAAATACTTTTCCAATAAAGCGTTTCACACCACTGTCAAAACGACATCGTCTGCTATAGATACGCAATGCTATTTCGAATTTCCTCGAAGAATCACATATGGGACAGGGACAGTATCTTTTTTTCGAAACCTGAAAAATTTAAGCAGTCCTAACGAATAGTTAGAAAAAAGCTCTGTGTTCATAAAAAAAAAATACAAAACAAAAATCAACGGATTGAAAGCTGAGGCCAAAGGCCAAAGTATCCCCTACTACCCAAACTCCGTCACCATAAGCGGAAAACACGTCAGTTTACTCTCTGAATTATTTTTTGATTTTTTTCTTGTTTTCTACACTTAGTAATGAACTTAAACATTGTTTTCAGAACTATTTTAAAAAGTTCAGTTATTGAACTTATACAAAACTGCTATAAATTGAACGTGTATCACATCCGTGTACATTACGTCCAACGAACCCTAACTCCGTCACCAGGGTCCTCTACAATGTGTCAACGTATTAATTAGAAATTTTTATCCAGTTTAGTTTTTTCTCCCTTCATCTTAAACTTGTAAACATAGAAAATTAGTTTTGAAGATTTAAAATGGTATTCAATTGTATTTTAGGAAAAGTATCAACGACAGAAAAAATAACGTTAATATAACGTATTTTATATGTAATAACCTAACGCTACGTTATCTCCAACGTGTAGCATATTAGGGCAAATTGAGATGAAAAATAAAATATTTTTAGCCATATTCAGTATGATATGTCATATTAATCCTTTGGCAAAGACCTTCATAAATATGACTGACATGTAAAAATGAACATATTGACGCACCTGTCGGAGGTATCGATGGAATAGCGCATAAAGGAAAAAGTACTTACTGATTTCACATAAAATATGATAGCTAAAATAGATCACTTGTAATTGTTATTTATTTTTGACACATTCTTGAACTTGACTGTAAAAATTTATCGGCATTTGATTGTAGATTTTTGGCATGTAAAAAATGACGTCACAATCGCATTCATTTACAAACAGCGCGGAGTTTCCCGAAAGTGACGCAGTTAGGGTAGTGACGGAGTTAGGGGGTTTGGCGATATAGATAGTATTCTTGAAGAAGAGGGATTTGAGATAAAAGGGACCATGCTGAAATGACACAGATCTGTGTATACATTCAAACGTTATTAGTGCAGAATAATTCATTTAGAGAAGACCAAGTATTAAACTGAATGATTTTAAAAATAACTTCTGGTCATGATTTTTTTAATTCTCTATTGAGAAGTTGATGACTCGCTTTAATACTCCCCCTCAACTTCTCTATGAAAGGCCTAATAAAAGCAGTTCAGAAATTGACTAAATGAAGAACCAAAACTGGGTCCCACTTCGATCGGTGTTTTAGGATTGATGCATTATCATAGACATATTTTGGATGCACAGATGTTGTTTTGCAATGGAAATGCGATTAAAAATACTGATTCTGCTGACTTAAAAAACATTTATCATGGTAGAACACTTACTTGCGATATCTGTGTCACCGTTGTTTATTCATTCAAAACTGCGTTTGAACCCGGCTGACATCTAAAAAAGTCTAAAACTTTTTTTTCGGATAAATTGGGTTAAATGTTCCAGTGTTAAATAGTTATACGGAGGAATAGTTATAGACTTTGTTAGAGGTCAACCGGGTTCAAACGCAGTTTTGAATGAATAAAAGAATCCGGTGAAACAAATATCGAAAGTAAGTGTTCTACCGTGATGAATGTTTTTTAAGTCAGCAGAATCAGTATTTTTAATTGCATTTCCATTGCAAAACAATATCTGTGCATCCCAAATATGTCTATGATAATGCATCAATCCTAAAACACTGATCAAAGTGGGACCCAGTTTTGGTTCTTCATTTAGTCAATTTCTGAACTGCTTTTATTAGGCCTTTCGTAGGGAAGTTGAGGGGGGGTATTAAAACAAGCCATCAACTTCTCAATAGAGAATAGATTTTTTTGTAACAATTAATGATCACAGCAAGGTTTAGGAATATTACCTGATTACCTCTTATAGAAAAGAAATAAATTTTGAGATTTGGATTTACGCTTTGCACTAGTCACTGCATTAATAAAATTGTTCTTATGAACGCTTTGTACCAGTCACTGCTGTAATATGTAGTTTCTTTTTTTCTATATTGGTAATCATTTAACAACAATCACTTTACATATTTTTAGCATTGATATGCAGTGATTGAATTCCTATTAGTGTTGTCAAATTGGACGATTTTTAGTAACCAGTTACTTGCTTACTTTTCCAATCGAGTAACTGGTTACTTGGATGGATTTTCTTTAGACCTCAAAACATTTTTGTTCGTGGTGTAGAAGTTTGGGCTACATGGACCTTGCATGGATATTGGCTTGGATAGCTCAGTGGTAGAGCACCTGACTAGTAATACAGGGGTCCCGGATTTGATTCCTGGTCCAGCCATATATTTTCTTTATGCATTTCTCCTTTCCTACTACAGTGGTATATATACTTCAGTAGTAACTGTAATTGTAATTAACTCAAGCCCCTAAAACTTGTATACCCTTGGCAATCAAAGCCATCAATTAGATAAAATGTGAAATAATAATCAAAACAGACTGATTTGTAAAACGCTAGATCAAGACTTGCGTTTAATAACGGTAAATAAAATTGGGATATTCTAAACAAAAATACATTTTATCCTACTGATTTACTATGTAAAATTCTGTATATCTGAGTAACCAAGTAGCAGTTTTACTAACCGAAACTAGCATCATTCGACAGTTAACTGGTTAACTGGGTACATGTTGACAACACTAATTCTTACATGTTTTACTTTGAGTAGGAGAATGACCACAGAAGAGAACAGCAGTGATGGAATGACTTCTGTGTCCACTGCACCACTGGTAGTAGAACACATGCCACTGACCATTAGCCAGCTAACAGACAATTCTCAACCTGAGGGGGTCATTGCTTCAGATGGTGTTCTCACCATTGCAGTGGATACAAACAATTCTGTACTACAGGAGTCATTCTCTGGTAGAAAATTCATATTATACCTTTGTATATACATGTATAAAGTAAAGCCATGGTATATATTGAAGTTCAGAGCAGAATTCCAAAAACTAGTAAAAAGTTTGTCAGATTATTGTCCTGTCAATATTTATATTTTTTTGACAACCAAGGTTTTTTAAAAAAAAAAAATTATACATAAAGTAGTGAAATAGAGTTAAAACATTACTTGACAGACTAATTTATTGTATTTCCCTTAAAATTTTAACTTTAACGACCCTTTCAAAATTTACTGAGATGCCCAGTGGACAGGTGCATTTTGGGAACTCTGAAAGGATATTCTTTCAAATTGAAAAAAATGAAGCAATGTGCATGCATTGATTCCAACCTTCATTTTTGTTATTAAATTACAAATTGTCTTTCAATACTTAAAATGTATTGGGCATTTTATCCAAACTTTTATTTCTTGATGTCATTTTGATGCTTATTGTACATGTTGTAGGTAGTGACCAGGATTTGAAAGAAGAACCTCCCAGTAAGAGGACAAGATATGACACAGGGAATGGAGAGTTATCACAGGACCAATCCATTAAGGTATCCAGGAAAGAAAATTATAGAACATTGGACTAGTGACTTGATAATACATACATATGTAATTAATGTTCTTTAATTTAATGTGTATGAATAGTTTTCTATACTTTCAGAGTCTGTTGTTTACAATAAACAAAGCTATCTGCATGCGATTGGATGGAATCGAGAACAGTATAGAAATTCTGAATGGTAGAACTAAGTTTCTGGAGGAAAAATTAGAGGAATTGATCGGTCACGTAAAGGAGAATTCTGCCACAGACCACAATACCACCCAAACAACTCCTAATGTGGGATCCATAGTACAGGCACAGACCAAGGGGTAACAATACAGGAGTCAAATAATTTTGAACATATGAACACTTTTAGACTCCGATTGAATTACAATTTTAGGTAGCAGAATATGTAAGAAAAAGTTTTGTTTTTTTTTTAAGAATTTGTTTTATACTCAAAAATGTTTTGCAATTTTACAAATTTCTAAACTGTTAGTTGTTTCTTTACTTTAATAAGAGGCACAAGAAATTAAACTTGAGTAACAGATGCATACTCTTTATTGTGTAAAAAGTGGAAAAATGTCATGCAGATTGTGCTTTAATGGTAGATAACTCTTGTATTTCTCTTTTCAGTGCTGTGTTGGTAGGACTTTCACAAGGAGCAAAAGTGGAATCACAGAGTAAGCAATGTTTTAATTTACCTTAAAAATTTTTCAATAGAAGCTTTACAAATGTCTTATTTCTGTATTACAGTTCAAAGCATTTTAAAGGCAGAATTGAGATTAAATATTTTAATTTTTAAATGTTTTTCAATTTTTTCCTTCAGATCCAATGAATGGTATTGGAGGAGTAGAGAGTCTACAGAACATGGGACTTGGGCCTAATGTGACACTTATTACACTGAACTCAGAAGGTTGGAACTAAAAGTCAAATATTTGAATGTATTTTCAAAGAAAAAGGAGGGTTTTTTTTAATTTTGCTACTTATTTACCATCAGAAGTCAATTAAATTTTAACAATGATTTTCAGAGGATTTTCCTCATGGTACCTGGCTTGGAGATGAGACAAATCCCGAAATGAGGGTTAGAGTTCCTATTACCCCAAGGTAAACAAATATGGCCAGCATTACCTCCTCCCCTGTGTCATTAATAGCAGATCTGTAGCTCAGGCCATCCTTAAAAAATTGTTTGTTTGGAATTGCCGCCTGGAAGTTTTCAGACCCAGGAGAGAGGGAGGGAAATTTTTTTTTTTTCAAAATTAATGTTAAATTAAAAATTGATGATAAAAATCTCAATAAGGAATGAACACATTATTTTCTGCCTTTTTGTAAAGGTTATCTCCCATCAACCAAGAACCCAGTTTTGCTTTGATCCTACACTTATTAAGTGATTTGGTGGCATATGTGGTAACAGGCCAAGAATTGATTGAATAAAAAAAAAATCTTATTTTTGGTCAAAATTTTACCAGGAGGGGTCATTTCAATGAGACAGGAGGCAATTCCAAACAAACAATAATTTTATTTTGGCCTCACTAGTCTGAAATATTCAGATATACTGATATACTGTAAACCAACTTTTATTTGTGTGCAAGAAATATCTGTGAGTTCCGCAACCTTCTTTTATGAATATTTCTCACCACAAATCAATTTTTCTAATTACAGTACTGTAAATTAACTTTTATTTATATGCCAGGAACATCTTCGAGTTTCATGACCTTTTTTTTACGTGCAAATTTTTCTCGCAATGAACCATTTATTTTAATGTGTATTTACCTAGAAAGTGGCCTTAATCCCAACAATGAATTTTCACAGATGAATTTTAAATTGACGAATTTTAAAAATATTTGGTATAAAGTATACATTTAAAAAAAACTGTGCACGCTTAGAGAGTAGTGTCTCCATATTTAAAAGCTGCCATTACAAAATGTTACTTAATGTGTGTTCCTAATATAACTTTAACCGCTTATACAAGTAAACATTCTTGGCAGCTGTTATTGATGGCCCTCCTGGGCCTGAATTTGAGACCATTGAAAAAGTTGCTTGTTTTCCAGAATATTGTGTTAAAGAATGGGTAGGGAACACACTAACATGGCAGAGATATAACTCAAAATTCTATCACATTTTTTTTGTTTGAATGCATGGAACTGTAGCTCTTTGATAGTCAGTCCTAAATTTTAAGAAAGAAAGAAGAAACTGAATTCTAGATCAGAAAGTGTTCATGCAAATTGATTAGTTACATGCACTACTGGATTTGTAAATTTTGTAGTGATTTGCTGCATATTCACTCCAATTGTCGAACACCAGAGAAAATGGCACTGACAATGTTGGATTATTTATTTGATCGAGAAACTCAGGCAACATCAAACCTCTCAGGAATGGGAAAATATGGCAAGAAGCAGCTAGACCCATTAATGATCTATGGCATCAGGTGTAAGTTAAAATGAGGTTTCCTTTGAATTCATGGGGGATGAAATCAGTTGATACTGACATCTGTAAACATAATTTCAAAACTTTCAAGTTTTTGTAATAAAACCCTAAAAGGGATCCACCATACAAATACATGTATATTACGTTATGTCATGTTGCAGAAATATTGGAGTTATCTTGTTGAATTTTTTTTATATTATTTCGTCATTAATTTTTGTGAGACTTTCCCTGTGTGTAAATGTAATTGATATTTCATGCTGAGAAATATAAATGTTTTTGCAGGCCATTTGATCCACAGGTTTAACATAACAGAAAGTGACTGGCATAGAATCAAACAAAATGTTGACTCTAAATGTCGGACAGCATTCCGGAGGAAACAGCGAGGAATGCCCTTGACAGTGAAAGCATTTCGCGGGAAAGCAACACCTACATATGTTCAGATGAACCCAGCAGATAATTCTCTTAGTGATGAGGATTCTATGCAGGACTCAGAACTGCACATCAATGTAAGCCTTTTCTCTACTACACGGTGTCTTATGTCTCTATGAAACTAATATACATGTTCATTGTATGTATCATCACTTTTGATATGATTTCATATCAAAAGTGATGATATATTAAGATATAAGGATGGCCATTGCTAGTTGGTATTAAATCTAATTGATATGTGAGGAATGACAGTAATTCATAATAAAAACCTCAAAGGGTCAATTAAAACACATTTTCGAATTCACATGCATTTAAAAAAAAATAAAGTTCCACTTGTAAATTGTTTTTAGGTCACCTGAGTCACTCAGGTGACCTACTGCTATCTGTTTTCATCCGTCGTCGTGCGTCGTCCGTTAACTTTTGAACATTTTTAACTGCTTCTCTAGAACCGCTCAACCAATTTCAACCAAATTTGGTATATAGCATCTATAGGTGAAGGGGAACAAAAATTGTGAATTTCATGGTCCCTGCCCCCCTGGGGCCTGAGGGGTGGGGCTAAAACCACCAAAAATAATGCAATCTTTAAAAATCTTCTTCTTTACTCCTGGACATCAAGCAGTCAAACTGTTGGCATCATTGTAATAAGCATTGAGCCCTCTACCAAAACTGTGAAATTCATGGCCCCAGGGTCAGGGGTTCTGGCCCCAGGGTGGGGCTATATAGATCATATAGTGAAAGTGCATTATTTCTTTGAAAATCTTCTTCTCTGCTCCTGGGTATTAAATAAAGTTACTAAGTACATAGTTATGATGAGCAAGAGTGCCTCTTCCAAAATTGTGAAATTCATGGCCCCAGGGTCAGGGGTTCTGGTGTTAGGGCGGGGCTCTATAGATTATATAGTGAAAATGCATTAATTCTTTGAAAATCTTCTTCTCTGCTCCTGGGTATTAAATAAAGAAACTAAGTGTATGGTTATGATGCATAAGGATGCCTTTTCAAAAATTTTGAATTTCATGGCCCCAGGGTCAGGGGTTCTGGTGTTAGGGTGGGGCTCTATAGGTTATATAGTGGAAATGCATCAATTCTTTGAAAATCTTCTTCTCTGCTCCTGGGTATTAATTAAAAGAACTAAGAACATAGTTATGATGAGCAAGAGTGCCTCTTCCAAAATTATGAAATTCATGGCCCCAGGGTCAGGGGTTCTGGTGTTAGGGCGGGGCTCTATAGATTATATAGTGAAAAAGCATTAATTCTTTGAAAATCTTCTTCTTTGCTCCTGGGTATTAAATAAAGTTACTAAGTACATAGGTATGATGAGCAAAAGTGCCTTTTCAAAATTGTGAAATTCATGGCCTCAGGGTCAGGGGTTCTGGTGTTAGGGTGGGGCTCTATTGATTATATAGTGAAAATGCATTAATTCATTGAAAATCTTCTTCTCTGCTTCTGGATATTTAATAAGGTAACTAAATACATAGTTATAATGAGCAAGAGTACCTTTTCCAAAATTGTGAAATTCATGGCCCCAGGGTCAGGGGTTCTGGTGTTAGGGCGGGGCTCTATCAACTATATAGTGAAAATGCATTATTTCTTTGAAAATCTTCTCCTCTGCTCCTGGGCATTAAGGTGATAAACTAAGTACATAGTTATGATGAGGAGGTGGGCCTCTTCCAGAATTGTGAAAGCCATGGCCCCTGGGTCAGGGGTTCTGGTGTTAGGGTGGGGCTCTATTGATTATATAGTGAAAATGCTTTAATTCTTTGAAAATCTTCTTCTCTGCTCCTGGGTATTAAATAAAGTTACTAAGTACATAGTTATGATGAGCAAGAGTGCCTCTTCCAAAATTGTGAAATTCATGGCCCCAGGGTCAGGGTTTCTGGTGTTAGGGTGGGGCTCTATTTATTATATAGTGAAAATGCATTGATTCTTTGAAAATCTTCTTCTCTGCTACTGGAGACTATTTAAACAAACTAAGTGCATGGTTATGATGCATAAGGATGCCTTTTCAAAAATTTTGAATTTCATGGCCCCAGGGTTAGGGGTTCTGGTGTTAGGGTGGGGCTCTATTGATTATATAGTGAAAATGCATTGATTCTTTGAAAATCTTCTTCTCTGCTACTGGAGATTATTTAAACAAACTAAGTGCATGATTATGATAGACAAGGATGCCTCTTCCAAAATTTTTAAATATATGGCCTCAGTTTTTGGGGTTCTTGAGGAGGGGGGGGGGGAGCTCTATTGATTATATAGTGAAAAAGCATTAATTCTATTAATTAATCATTAATTAATCCTGTCTGCTCCTTAGTGTTGAGCTGATAAATAAATTGCTTAGCTATGATGAAAATGGGAGCTTTGAACAGAATTTTTAAATCTTGTGGTCCTAGGGTCAGGGGTTCTGGCATAACGAGGTTGGGGGGGGGGGGCTTTTGATAATATAGTGGAAAAGTGTGAATTCTTTGAAGTCCATAGTTATGATGATGAGGGTAACTCTTCCAAATTTGTAAATTTCTTGACCCTTGGTCTTGGGTTCTGGTGTTAGGGTAAGGCTTTGTTGAATCTGTAGTGAAAATGCATTGTACCTGTGAAATTCTTCTCTGCTTCTGGGCATATCGGAAGCAAACTGAGTAAAAGTTTAAATGATATGAGTAAGTGTATTTCTACCAGTTTTTTAAACATCTGGACCATTTGTCTAAGCATTCTGGTCCTGGGCAGGGCTCTATTAATTTGTATTCTACTGAGAGAAGTTATTCCCCTTTTCCATTCACCTTTGATAATTAATCACTGTAAATAATGTATTTGAAAGGTTAATAGAATAAGATAATTATGCAAGAATGTTTATCGTATAATTAAAAAAGTACTTTCTTAGTTTTAATAATCAGGTAGACCTGTAAGTAATAGATAAATAAAAATGAGACAAAATAACGTATCTTATTAAAAGTTCTTCAAAGACCATAAGAGAGGTCAATGCTAGAGGTCTTAATATGGGTGTAAAAATAGTACAGAAGCACTAATAGTTTGTCACTAGTCTGCATGGTGATAGTGTTAAGTGGGGGACAGATTAGAACTTAATTTATGAGTTGATACTGAATACTAGACTAATTATTTTGTTGATCCTGATCTTCCTACTTCTCTTGCTTTAGGGCACATTGCTTCATCTATCAGTGTATTTAACTTCGAAATTGTTGTATTATACTCAGGTGACCGTTAAGGCCCTTGGGCCTCTTGTTTATTCTAGTAATCTGTCTTATCTTCTCCAGTTAAATATATAAAATGCTCCATATTAAAATTTAGCAGAGAAAAAGCAACCTTTACTTTAATCCATGAAAAATTTCTACTTTTCAGATGAATCAGATTAACCTTAATTACATATTTTTAAGCTGAGCTTTTCTGATCACATTTTGTTTGACATCCATCTGTCTGTAAACTTTTCATATTTTAGACTTCTCAAGAACCACTGGGTCAATTTCAACCAAACTTGCCACAAAGTATCCTTGGGTAAAGGGGATTCAAGTTTGTTCAAATGAGGGCCAACCTTCTTCTAAGGGCAGATAATACCTAATTAGTGAAAAATTAATTGCAGCTTTTAAATATCTTTTCAAGAACCTGTGGGACAGAAAAGATGAAACTCGTGTGAAAATGTCCTCAGGTAGCGTAAATTCAGATTTGTTCATACATGACTCTGTTGGAGGGGGGGGGAGGGGGGGGGGGCATAATAGGGGATCAAAGTTTTACATAGGAATACATATGAAAATTGTTTAAAAATCTTCTTCCCAAGAACAGCAAAGCCATGAATAGTCATATTTATATGGAAGCATCCTCAGGTAGTGTAGATTGAAGTTTGTTCAAATCATGTCTGCCATTGGTAGGGTCGAGCCACAATAGATGATCAAATGCATATGAAAAATCTTTAAAAGTCTTCTTAAGCCATGATTAGTCAGGGAATATTGAAGAATCCTCAGTCAGTTTAGATTCAAATCATCCCCCCTCCCCAACATAGGTTGGGAACCACTTATATATTTAACTTTTCAGCCGATGGGCCTCTTCTGTTTACTATTTACAGCAAGACCAGGACCTGAAGCACACTGTTGCTGCTATGACAGGGGATGGACTTCCTCCAGGAGAGATACAGATCCTACATGCCACACCTGAACAAATCTCACAGCTACAACAAGCCCACCATATACAAATTTTACAAGGAGATCAGGTCATACAGATGCCTGTTGGGGTACCGGTAAGAAAATATTACTTCTTGTTCAAGACTATGTGGAAGGATTTATGTGTAAATTTATTTTCAATTTGAAATGCTGAATGTACATGTACCATGTTTTAATTATATATATATATATGTATATATATATATATATATATATATATATATATATATATATATATATATATATATATATATATATATATATATATATATATATTGTATTTCTCAGCTTTCTCAGGATGATGCACAGAATATGCAGGTGTCTGTCTCTATGCCTCAGCCCACCAGCGTACAAGTTGCTACAGTAACAACAGACAGCGGGGAGGTACTACAGATTCAGCAATCCTAGCACCCCTAGTGAAAGCCCCACCCCTCAGTATTATTGAGGCACCAGGAATATAGAGAACGATTCCAACAAACTATGTGTTTCACCAATGTCTTAATAAACACAGTCATACCACCTGAAGAGAAGTTACATCAGAGTAATGAAGGTTTTGTCCACCTGTTGTTGATAGCAAAGGCCAGTGCAGGAGCTGAAAGAAGGAGAATCTTGTACCAGCAAGACTTGAAATAGAGTGGAATTCTGCCTGGATCATTTCTGTTGTGTCTATTGTTGTATGATGTACTAGGATTACAGTGCAATGCACATATTTCATGTTCATTGCTTAATATTTATTGATATGTCTTATCATGAAAATCAACTTGCTTAGACATAATATTTGATGTCCTTTACAAAACAGCCACTTTTAGGAAAGTTATTGACAATGTATTGCAAAAGTTATATTAACTATGAAAAAGGAGCAAATTAAGTTAAAGGATAGATTATCTGTACATACAGGTATGTCAAGAGAACTTTTTTTTCTCCGAGGCCACATTTTTTTTTATTAGTTCTTTTTCAAGACTTTTTCCCTAAAAATTGGGGTGGTAGGTAGGTAAAAAAATTAAATAAAAGGAAAAAAATTAAGTCAGAATAGAAATTAATCTCATCTCCTGTCGTCCTAAAAATTAAAAAAAAAAAAAATCTAAAATTGCAATTTGCAATTTCAACCAGTAACTGAATTATATTTCGGTGGCTAGAGTTGGGATCCAACATCTTAAACATCTATTCTGAAATAGATGCAGTTGAAATTCAGTATCTCGAATACCATGGATATATTGAAGTGATTTGGAAGTTCAAACCATATACTCCTTTAGTTTTTTTATCTTTGATATTTGGAATCCTCGGATATCAGTCATAGTTTTTTCTTGGTCCCATGGAGTTCGAGATAATGAGGTTGATTGTGTATAGGATATCCAAAATACTAATAATCTTAGAATTATTAGGTTTGATATTTAAAAAATACCAAAAGTCTTTTTTGTGATATCTACAAAAAATAAATAAATAATAATAATAAAAATCATTAAAAAAAAAAAATAATAATAAAAAATAAGAAAAACAATTTTTTTTTCTTCTAAATTTGGGTTGGCCAGTCTTGGAAAAAAAAAACTAATCAGAAAAAAATTGGCCTAAATGACTTTTTTTTCTTGTTTTAATACATGTGAAAGAGTATTGTTGATTATTTGAAATTTTATTACTATGGTTAAAAAAAGTTTTTGTGCTTTCAGTCAAATACATGTTTTATTTTGATATCGAGCTTTAAATATACATGTGTATTTGCTAGTTTATTCATGGAATCATTCCAGAAAGAAGATGTTTTGTGCATGAAAACTTTGATCTGCTATATTAAATATATTAGATTACTGCCAAAAGTCTTTTGCAGAATTTATCTGTATCAATTCAAATGGTTTGTTATTTTGCATACATTTGATAATACACATGTATATTAATTGTAAGCAAAGTGATTGTTCAGGAAATTTATCACTAATTTCCACACATTTATCAAGATTACATGCAATTTATAAAGCTTGCTTGTTGGTAAACAAAGATTTTATGAATATTAAATTGAAAATTTATTATTGAATGCCCTTGAATGTCCACATAACGGGTTTCAGTGAATAGATGAAACTTGCTAGAAGACACTTGTGTGTCATGTAAAATCTGTTATCATATTTATACCTTGAAGTATTTCAGTAAATAGTGTTATCCCCAATGCTCAGGCAGTGTTTGGATTCCTATTGAAAGATGTAGAAGTCTCCAAACTGTATGTTGGAGTTGAGTAATTTCCCTTTTACTCATGAGATCTGAAGGTTTAAAATATAGCAGTTTTCAGAATTGCTATAACTTTGACAAAGAAGTATAAAAACACTTGATTGCCAGTTGAAATTGTTCACCCCTGGCACTTTGCTATAAGCATGTTTTACTGTATGTAACTTCAAGTTCTGTTGACTTGACAGAGTGGCTTGAGTTGGAAGGGTACATACATGTACATTATATTTAAACAAAGTTCATGTACATTGTTTATAAAAAAAAGTACAATTCTATTTAAATAGTGCTACTTAATACAAAACATTACATTTTTAAATATTTGTATTTCGATGTTTAATGTACATATATTTATGTTATTTATTAAAAGTACAACTGTACTTTGCTCAATACACTTCAGATTAAAATGTCAAAATACTCCTGATATATTTTTATGGTTGAATCCTGTAATAAAAATAGAAGTTAACTGTATGTAATATATGTTTACTTTTTGTTTCTTACTTAGAATATTTATAATTTTATAAAATGAAACCCTTACAAAAAAATATATTGTAGGTTAAGTAAAACCTGTGTAGACCGTACAATTATTTAGTTTCTGATTGCCTTCACATAAGAGATTGAAGTATTTATTCTATATTCTGAGTGTCTGAAAGTTAAAAATGTTTATAGTTACATGTATGTATATACAGTCTGAGAATTGGTAACCTGTCACAGTTGCCTAGTGGTTGGGCCCTCGCTTTGTAATAGGTCTGGGTTCAATTCTTATTTCCCAGGGTGCTGTCAAACCTAAGATGTTTAACATAGATAGGGTACTGTTCTTTCATCAAGCAAGTCTTTCGCATGAGTATTAGGTTAAACCAAGGTCTGTCTTGGTAAGCATTACTGATTAGCATTATAGGCTCATTGGTAAAAATTTCTGGCTCGTCGCCAAAAGAAAGTGATGTCTCTTCTTGAGTGAACATTCTCAAATGAGATGTAAAACTAAAAACAACCTGAAAGTGCTTTAAAATTAGTCCGAAATATCTGACGTTTTCCGGCTTTTTTCACGATTTTGATATTTTACGTGCCAGGAAAACGTCAGAACCGGCGCCATTACGAAAACTGGAAATTCGCCGCCTCCAACTGGAGGCGGCATTCACGGGTTGATTTTCGATACTTGCGAACCGAATTAAATGCTGAATTCACAACCTATTAATAGTACAGTGCCTTTAGTACTCACCAACATCGTTTTATGGGTTTGTTTATGAAATATAGTTTGGTGAAAACATTTTATCAAACGGTCGACTTTTCTTTTCATTTCGTGAATTTTAAAATCTTGCAAGATCTGTATCGAAATGTGGAGTGGTATTTTCTTTTCATCGGTATTGGTGAGTACTAAAAGCATTGTGCTACTGATAAATTGTAAGTTCGACATTTAATTCAGTTCGCAAGTATCGAAAATCAGCTCCGGCTGGAAACGGTGAAATTTCCAGTTTTCGTAATGGCGCCGGTTCTGACGTTTTCCTGGCACGTAAAATATCAAAATCGTGAAAAAAGCCTGGAAAACGTCAGATGTTTCGGACTACTTTAAAATTTGATCTGTGCAGATTTCAGACCTGCTTATGCCCTTTTTTCTTTTGTATAAAAATTGGAAGGAAATATATATCAGATTATTTGACATACATGAATGGTAAAGTTTGTCTTGAAATATAATCGTTATTCGTCACTACAAATCAGAAAGTGAGAAAAAAAATGCAGCATTGACCCCGACGTGATTCGAACACGCAACCTTCTGATCTGGAGTCAGACGCGCTACCGTTGCGCCACGGAGTCGTACTTGGTAAACGGCTGGCAGAGTTGGAATATATCAATCACTTATACATTTATATGGTATTTGCTATGATGCACTGAATATTATTTGGAATTTCAATGCCAATTTTACTTCTACGGAAGAATGCATTTCCTGTGTTCCTGATTTAACACGCGAAATCGATCGAGTTCATCGTCATTTCCGGAAATGTCATCATGGCTGACAGACGTAAACGACATGGGACCAGCTCTTACTCTGACATAGATGAAGAGTTGGCCCCTTATAAATGCCCCGTATGCTTAGAAATTTTTAAGAATCCAGTTCATATAACATGTGGCCATAATCATACGTAAGTATTTTATTATTCTGTAAATAGATAAGCTAAAATATCCAAACTTGCATAAGCTTGTTTCTAGATTCTAGGAACGTTTTCTTTCTCTTTCACAACACAGCTGATTGGTTACACGGTGGTGCGATTATTTTTTGAGGAGTCACGTAAAGCATTAGCTAGTATGATGATTACCTAGGCTTAAAGTACAGGGGAAATACGTGCGATATTATAGATACTCAAGTCGAGGTTCAGCTCTTTATTTGGCAGAAGAAATGCTGAAATACTAAATAGATAATGTAGACATATCTCTAAAGTTCTTTCATTGCATCAGGGATGTATAAGTATCTACGTCTCTGATTGCAGTAAGTTCCATAGTCTAGCCTATGGCATATGCATGCCTACCCATGTACCCATCAGAAATCAGCTATATAGAGCAAAGATCACAGGTGGAATGGTTGGGGCTGTGGATATTGCCATGGGTAGCTCAGTTGGTAGAGCAAACTGACTAGTGATGCAGGGGTCCCGGTTTGATTCCTGGTCCAGTTGTACATTTTTGCTTTTCCTGTTACATAAGTTGGTGCCGTTGACCTCCCCTGGACTTGCAGGTGAAAGTCCTGCCAGGGGCAATAACATTGTATGAAACTCAGAAAAATTCAGATGGATCAGCATGCAGGGCTTAACAGACTACCCAAAAAAGTCAGCCCTGCTGAAAATCAGCAAGCCTGCAGAATAAACATCAATCGATCATTGAATGGATTCAGAGCTATTCAGAAATACATTTCCTAGATTGGCTTTTTTATTTACATAATTACATTGATAGATATGGTCATTTGTGTATTTGAAGAAGTTTAGATAAGTACACATGTTTATTCTGCTTAAGTTTTGACACACGTATAATTGACAAAAGAAAAAAAAAGTACAATTTTAAATTTCAGTACTTAAGAGCATTAACTTTTAATACTAAATATAATCAGGAAATCATATAATATCTCCAACGGAAAAATGAACTGCCTATATAGGCAGTTATTAATAGGCAGTACTTTAGCAGTTTTATGAATTTTAAGCAGTTTCAGGCAGTTTGATTTTTACTGTTGTTTCATAACTGCTAATGCCTGGGAAGTAAACAGTTTTCATAAGCAGTTTTCTAAGCAGTAAGCAGTTTCCTTAGCAGTATGTTTAAGCTTTACCCCTACTGGGGGAAAGAACAGTTTTGTTAGCAGTATCTAAGCAGTTTCCTTAGCAGTAAATATTCAATTTGATTGGGATCAAGATAAATTCCAATGTTGGGCTCAATGATCAATAAATATACACAACAGGAACCAAACAACTGACCGCCAAAATTGAATTTTGGCTGCTATGTTGTGTAGTTGGACAAAAGGAAATAGTCATGAATAGGGGCCTGCTGGCCACAATTATGATGCAGACATATAATATCTGGTAGGTACACTATATTTTATAAGTGTTCTTAATAAGAGAGGTAATTAACAATTATTAATTGTTCTGCTTGAATCATATTTTAATGGTATATGTCTCATATATTATATATTTCCAGTGCACCTTTTAAGAATCACTGACTCAATTTCATTTGACTTAAATAAGCAAAATCTTTTTTATTTAACCACAACTACTGTTTTAGAAAAAGAATGTACCTTTTTTATCTATACTGATATTGAAATTATTGATGTAGCTTACAACAGGGACTTATATACAATGTACTAACGGGATAAGAAACTCCTTCAGCACCATGTTTATATATATTTACCAAAAACATCACGCACCACACTACAAGTTTTTCAAACTACTTTTTTTCCCAGTAAAAAGCTTGTTTTCTGATTAATGTTATCTGTTCTTTTTGTGTATCAGAATGGATTTTTAATAAATTTTAAAGCATACAGTATAAGGTAATATAGTTATTAAGTAAACAACCACCAAAATTGGCGAATTCTTGGAAATACGGTCGATCAGGGCATATTGCATTAATTGATTTTGAAATAAACGTAATTACTACTAAGATAAGGAGTATAAACAGTTAAAATAACAAATCTTGAATAATTTTTTGATAGATAAGGTTTTATTCTAAAATATTTGATAGCATTTAATAGAGATATATTTAATCAAAATTGACTTATGAAATCCCGCAACTTACGAGATACCCCGTGAGACTTGCGAGAGTCGCCTATCCAGTTATTATATAGGTCCCTGCTTACAAGTACATGGATTAATTAATTTTCATAATGTGGATTGTTTTAACATTTGTAGTATTATGAGTTATATAAATTGTATATTTAAAATTGGCCCAATTAATGGATTATATTTCTGTTAAAATTAAATTACAGATTTCAGGAAATATGTGCATGTCCTGAAAATGAGATTGCTTCACAGCTAGTTAATTATCAGTACATATTAAGCAGTTGTCTAACAGTTAACTAAGCAGTACAAAAACAGTAGCTTTACAGTTTAATAAGCAGTACCTAAACAGTTAGATCGAAGGAAGCAACCAGTCCTGAAAAATCTTCCCAAAATAACTGCTTATGAACTGCCTATGAACTGCTAACGAACTGAGCAAAACTGCCTAACAACTGTTAAGGCTTAGAAAACTGCCTATTTTATTCAAAGGTTTATTGTGGGCCCAACATGCCAATAAAGCAGTGCAGAGAAGGTTTAGAAACTGCTTATAAACTGCTAAGATGGTTCAACTGGTAAGGTTAAGAAACTGCTAAATAACTGCATTCCACTTTGCCATGGGTTTAGTATATAAATCCCTGATACAATTATTAATTTTGATAAAAGTCAATACATAATATTTCTATAAAATTATAGATATAAAATCAAAGTAGATTATTTGTGATGATTTTCACTAAAGTTTTTAGCTCACCTGAGCCAAAGACTCAAGTGAGCTTTTCTGATCGAAAATTTCTGACGTCACAAGGCCGCTACACGCGTACTTTCCCTCCAGTATTATGAACTGTTTGCATTTGTATAGATTATATAAGGACTATATCATAAAAAGAAAGTTAGTGGTTATGAGACAGTCTGATATTACACTTAATATCAGGCTCATCATTGATATTGGACTGCCATATATAGGTATAAATTTTTAGACTGGGAGAACAAAAGAATGATGTTGCAGCAATATTTTAATCTTTGTTATTCCATTCAAGAAATGACTGTTTGGTCACAAATCAACTGTTGTATATGCCCCCAAAACTTTTAAAACTTTTATTGCAATTACTCTGAAGGACAAACATCTTGAAATGCAATTTTTTCATGAATTATTTTCAGAACAGTTCAAAGTTGGAAACTATCATTGCACCATTTTTACATGCTAAAAATGCTCATTTGAGAAATAAATATGATGTAGTAGCTGTTAGACATTTGCTTTATTCAGCATCATACACTCAAACTAACTTTACAAGATGAAGAGCTCCCTTAGGGGGAGATAAGTTAAGCATAAACTAGAGTTACTTCTCTTGTCATATTATACATAAGTAAACTAACATTAATTATACTTTTCTCTTTTTGGGTAAAGAAAATTAAAATAACAAAAGTTAAGAATGATTAAAAAGTTTCTGATTGTAAGATTAACAGTAATATTGTCACTTTTAACCACAAAAGTCTGGCAACATCTGTCCTGTTTGTAGAATCTCCAAAACGCACAAACCATTTGCTCCTGCTTTTGTTAGGCAATTTGCTAGCTGTTTTTGTCCCGAACACCACTGAATTTTTTTCACTTCTCCTTGAATTACTGCTTCTGTCAATGCGGCAATATCGATTCGAAGTCTCTTATCCTCCACAAGTTTTGTTGAATGCACAGATTCAATCACACTCTTATTGTCTACAAATGCATAAATCGCGATGGATTTGCTGGGAACTCCCAAAATTTCCTCCAACATGTGTCGATAATAAAAACTTGCCTCCAGTCCTTCCTGTAGACTAAGTGCCTCTGCTGCTAGGGTGGAGCGGACAACTCTTCTGATCTTTTTAGCCTGCCAGAAAAGGGGGGAGCATTTTCCATGTTTGTCCATAATCCAGATAATAACTCCTTGGGTACTTCCAATTCCATCATTAAGGTTTCCTAAAGATGCATCAGTAAATGTTATTATTTTTAGTGAGCTAAGATCTAAAACTGGAAATCTCAGGATACTTTTGAAGTCCTTAAGCCTATTAATGGTTTTTGTTGCTCTGATTAAGTCTGCCATGGTTCCACTTCTCAGCTTAGTGCTCATGTCTATCATTTCAAATGCAAGGTCTGGTCTAGACCCCTGCACTGCCCAATTGATCTGCCCTATGATTTGTCTGTATTCAGTCTGTTCTTCATCACTTAGTTGACTTTTCTTCTGACTTGCTCTCAGGGGGTCAATCTCTACACTTTGTAACTTCTCCATGTAATTAGTGTGATCCAGTACTATTCCCTCTTGATCTTGTTTAAGATAGAAACCGATATAATGAAATTGGCATTCGGCAATTTTTCCAGCTGAAAATCTCTCTCTAAACTTGCAAACCTGTCTCTCAAAAATCTCATCCCCAGCATGGAGAAAATCATCAACATGAGAACAAATTATTCCATGTAGCTTTCCATCCTTTCTATAGCAGAAGAGAGCTGGGTCTACACTACACTGCTCAAAGCCAAGTTTATTAAGTTCTTCTTTAACACTTAAGTAAAACTGTCTCGCACCATCTTTCAGTCCATATAGACAGTGTTTCAACTTCCATATCATTCCAGCAGGTGTGATACTTTCCTTTGGCGGTTGAAGATAAACATCTCTGTCAAGTGTTTTTCCTTGCAAAAAGGCTGACTTTATGTCTGTGGTTTTGACGTCCCATAATTTACTTGCTGTTATGGTCAAAAATATCTTAAGGCCGCCCTTTCCAACTGTCGGACTGTCTCTTGGGATATAAAATTCCTCCTCGAACCCACGTGCTACAAGTCTAGCTCTTACTTGTCCTTCTTTTGATGTAACAACCCATCTTGTAGATAGTCTATGTTGTCCTTCATCCAGAACTTCAGTGTATGTGTCGAAGTTTTTTAGTTTCTCTAATTCATTCTGTTTTGCTAGAGATATATTGTCACAGCTTGTATTTTCACATGTTGCAGAATTAACACTCTCATCATTTTGGTTGATTATTTTCCAAGGAAGGCTACCTAGGTCTATGCTTTTTTCTTCTTCACTCTCAGAATCTTTTACATTATACCAATCCCTGTTGGTTCCAGAAGCTTTGCCAGCTCTGCTGAGAATTGTTGCTTTTATCCAATTATCATCCTCCAATCCCATCTTGTACTGAATACTGTCATTTGCTTTCAGTGCAGGTTTGGGGGGTTGGTGTGAGTTTTGGTCTATTTTCCTCTCTGACAGGTATTCAGTGACTGCACTATTCTTAAGTCCCACTTCACTTGTTACTCCTTGATGTGTTTTCTCTTCATCGGTACTCATAGTTTCAGTATCTGTTATTTTCTGTAACCTGTTAGGTGACACTCGCACAAAAACTCCACCATGACGAACAAAAACAACTTTGCCATCTTGAAAAACAACTCTCCCAGGTCCAAGCCATCTATCTTTACCCTCACGCTTGTAATACACCTGATCACCATTCTCATAGGATTCTTCAGCTGCTCTCACTTTATATAACAATGCCCTTCTGATTCTCTCATCAGCTTCTGCCTCTATGTAAGCTCGTCTAGTGCTGTGCAATAAATTGAGGTGTTTAGCAAATGTCTCACTCGTTGTACGACCCTCAAGTGCTGGAAGTTCGTCCGTCATGATGTTCGGAAGTTGGGGGTTCCATCCAAACACAAGCTGGTGGCTACTAAAGCCGTTCCACATCTGCAATACATTCCTAGCCATGTTTGCCCAGCACAACAAGCTCTCTTCACTTACATCTTTATAGTCTTGTTCCAATTTTGTGAGCATCATGTCGGTTACAGAATGCACTCTTTCACACAAGCCGTTTTGAAATGGACTTTCGCCTGCAGAAGTACACACTTTGACATTCAAAATGGATGCCACTTCTCGAATTTCTTCCGAGTTAAACTCCCCTCCATTGTCTGTCATAATTGCACCCATGACACCAAATATTCCTATCCAATGAGACATGATTTTATCAATAACATCAGTTGTCTTTTTCCTCTGGATAAAAACTGACACAGTGTATCTGGACCACATGTCAATCATGTGTAATATCCACTTCCCTCTCCAGTACTTTAGGTCCATAGCTACCTTCTCATTAAAATGAGACGCCATTGGAAATGACACAACAGGTGGTGATGGGGTTCTGGCATAAGTCTTGCACACATCACACCTCTGCTCTATTTTTTCAATGTCCTCTTCAAAGCTCTCACGCCAAGCACCTGCATCTTTCAAGAGGGATACAAGTCGTTTCTTTGGTGGGTGGGCAAATTGTCGGTGCAGTTTCAGAAGAGTTGAGTATCTCTTTTTTGGATCCATCTCATCAATCCTAACTGAGCAGACTTCCTCAACAGGTATCATTTCTGCTTTGTCTATGGGAATACAATAATGTCCAGAAGAGGTCACATTAAGGTTCATAGTTTTTCCTAGAATCTCTGCTGTGTCATCCTCTAAGTTCAGCTTTACGCCAGCAGTTTTCATAGCTGTTCTTGACAACAGTAATGGAATGTCTGAATTAACAACATCAGTAGTTATCGTCACATCTTTCCCTGCTATACGAGCTGGAATCGCAAATTCTCCTTCGGATTTAAGACGAGTTCCTCCTCCAAACTTAAAAATTCTTCTGCCCTCTGTTTTCCTAATTTTATTTTTGTCCAAATCATCCAGTGAATCAATGTATGTGTTGATCCATGTACTACCACACACTGTACTGCTGCAGGCACTGTCTAGGACTGCACAGTTCCTAGCATCCATCCCCAAGTGTCCTATTTCCTTTGGTTGGTAACCTGTAAATAGTACAAATTCTTCTTTAGCTGAACATGTATTGACGTTAGCCATATTTTCCCAGCTATGAGGACATGCGGCCACCATATGTCTGAATGACCCACAAGATTTGCATGTCAACACATTCCCATCTGGTCCTGATGGATTCATACTCTTTTTAATTGCTGAGCTGCCTACTCGTGATTGTCCGCGGTACTGACCTCGATGAGAGTCTCTACTCTGACCACTCTGAAATCCTCTTCCTCTCATCTGCTCATTCCTTCCCCCTCCTCGATAAAATTTACTGCTCCTCATTCTAGTGTATCCAGCTGCCATCAGCGCTTCTTCATTTTCAGCAAGGAATGCTGGTTCAAGTTTAATGGATACTGGTTTGGTAGGGGCATTTCCTTCACACGTTTCACCTTTGAATTTTTTAAGGGATTTCTTAGCTTCTTCATATAAAGTTTCTTTGTTCTCAAAATTCATTCCTGTCAAGACAATCATCCTTTCTTCTTTGCTTATCAATGACCTTCTGAGTAATTTGAATGCCAAAATCTCTGGGGGTAACTTCATATTTTTCTTTTCAATTTTTCTGTATTTTGCATCAAAGATGGATATGTATTCATTGATAGACTGTCCATCAGATCTTTTAAAATCTTCAAAATCTTCAAATTTTTCTAAGCTGTCTGCCAAGTCATCTTTGGCTAAATGCTTGTCCAAAAATTTTATCAATGTTTTCAAACCTGTGTCTTTTTTGAGATCCTCCAATTTCAGCTGATCAAACACTTTTTCTCGTATCTGTGACTCATCATTTTCAGGAAGAGACAGAGCAATAGCAACACCTTGTTTCTTTTCATCTAACTCTGTGACTTCTTTCCATGCTAAGAGTTCTTGCTTGTAGAGCTCATAACTTTTGATTTTAGGGTTGTAAGAAGGGGGGTTGATTTTTGTTGACATTATCTCTGTTCGCTAGGATCACACTTTTTTTTTTCACATGCACCAAACTTTGAATTTGCTATAAAAAGTCACACACTTGCTTACACTGTTTTTGGCACTTAGTATCCAAAATTTTCTTTCAACCACGCTCTGCTACCATTGTTAGACATATGCTTTATTCAGCATCATACACTCAAACTAACTTTACAAGATGAAGAGCTCCCTTAGGGGGAGATAAGTTAAGCATAAACTAGAGTTACTTCTCTTGTCATATTATACATAAGTAAACTAACAGTAGCTTGAAATAAAGCAACTTCAATTCTGTAGGTAATACAAGCTACGGAGCTAAATATAGTGATTGTGCCAGACCTGTTTAGTTCAGAATGCCACAGTAAAAGCTGATTTCATATGTACATTTTGACTGTTTAAGAAATAATACTGTTGCGATCTATGATTTTATAAATCCAGTTCTGTCTCACTATAGGTATTGTTCAGACTGCGTTGCACCATACAAGTCCCAGCATGAAGCACAATGTCCGGAGTGCAGGGGAACTTTTGATCCTCGTGACCTGAGGAGAGCCAGTGATCTGGAACATGCCATGAGAAATGTTCAAATCCCTTGCAGATGGTGTGGACAAGGGGTAAGTCTTGGAGACCAGCTTTATATTTCCTAAAATGAGCCACTACAAATATCATCAATTATAAATAATTGCAAAGCTGAAGTGTTTTTGTATATGTAAGTGAAAAAATTATAGGCATCACTTGAAACAACTGATTTATGTCGAGGTGAATTTGATTACTGTATGATTGAGTTTATCTATATGCTGAAGGTTGAATCATTTAGGAGGGTACATGAAATTGTGTACTGGTAGTTATTGGGGAGCCTAGTAAAACCTTTTGAAGTACAAATATCGATTATTACAAAAGCAAAACAAATTTTGACTATTTTTTTAATATAAATTTTTAGATGACGGTACATCGATTGAGATCTCATTTAGCAAAATGCAAACAGAGAGATAGTTCTATTCCTAAATTTAAACCAGTTGCAGAGACAGCACAAAGTTTCCCTGCGTAAGTGACAAGTTTCAGTTCAACATACCATGCTGTATAATGGCTATTTCTTTGCTAATTGATCTTACAAAGGTAGAATTTTATTTTCTGAATTGACAGTTTCTCTGATTTTGTTCTGCAATACCAAAGTAGTAGAATATTAGAACATTTTAAAATCTATTGGATAGCAATTTTTACAGAACTCCAAATTTCTACAAAAATTAAACAGCCAAAGAAACCAGTAGTTTTACACTAAACACATATTAAACCATGAAGGATAAACAAAATACCATAAAATCACTTATTTTATTACATTTTCAACAGTGAAATACTGTAATTTATTTACTGAATAAAAGTGATATTCTGACACAGTGTGAAAGCATGGTATTCTCACAGTGTGAGAATATCAGAAGTGTGGCAAAACTTATGATTTTTGTTCCTTTCACGAAGAGTGTTTTTAAATAAATCCCTGGCCTGTTAAAAGATGGAGTTAATGAGCCATATCCTGACAGAGACTAATAGTTATTCTGCCAAAGTTTTCCAAATATGACGTTAAAAATGCATGTTTACAACATTTTTCAATCTTGCAATCGCTTAGCTATGACGTCTCAACCGCTCAAGTATGACGTCACAGCCTATGACACTCTGATACGAAAAGACAGAGGGAAAGGGAAAATCTAAGAAAATGTACCGGGTAATAAACAGAAAATTCAATGTTTTGTAGATGAATTTGGAATTTATTTCACACGTGAGACATGATTTTTTGATATTTTCACTCGTGCTTCGCACTCGTGAAAATATTAAAAAATCATGTCCCACTCGTGAAATAAATACTATATTCATCTACAAAACATTGAATATCCTCTATTTCTTTGGGTCAAATTTTGTGATTTAAGGAAAAAATATTACCTGGAAGTTGGGATTAGATTTCATGGTTGGTAGACAAACATGGTACGATAGTCTGAAATTGAAATATTTCATGAAGGACATGAATTTGTAGGTCTCCTTATACCATGAAAACAACAAAAATAAGTGATTTTATGGTATTGGCAGAGTTGTGATACATGTATTTCATTAAGGCACATGGAGAGATGCATATGATCAAAACAGTTGTGGAAAATGATTGATATCATGTTATCAAGTTGTAAATCCCCTGAAAATTCTAAAGTAATGAAATTACTACAAAGTCTACATATTTTCATGATGAAAAGCTAATTGTTTTCCAATTTTTTTCTTTTTCTTTTTGAAATTCATATTTGAATAATGGTAAGTGGAATAATATAGGACTCTTTTTTTAATCTTAATTCCAGTAATCTGTTTATTTCAGTAATTTACCAAATAGGTCTACATTTAGTTGTCCAATTTGTCATCAGGAAAATTTGGATTGTACTGCCCTTATACAACACTGTAACAAAATTCATGCACAGGAATCGGGAAGTTTTGTAAGTATATAACACAAGTATCAGGCATGTCCAGATACCAGGAAGTCCCCAATGTCACACAGAGATAGGGAAGTCTTGAATGTAAGACAGGAAGGCAAAAATCAAATGTGCATTAATTTTTATATATTTATAGGAATGTTTTGAACAGTTGTATGATTGCATATTGATAAAGTCAGACTCTTATGTAGCACAAATTGTTTTTGAGTTTCAGGTTTCTGTAACATTGAATCTGCTTTTTATAAACTGGGCTAGGTGTTCTGTAAATTGCATAAGAATTTGCATGCCATCATTTAAGAATAAACAGTTTAATAAATTAATTCACCACTGTATGCCAAAGTTGAAATTGTGTGTGTCATGTTTACATGTATTTCTGTGTAATGCATTTTTATTCTTGAATTTGGCTATTGATAATCATAATGTTTTTAATAAAGATGATTTCAAGAAAGGATTTAAAAAATTTGGTTCCAAACATAATAAAATATGAACCTTCCTGGATGAAACTTTAAATTTTTGCTCTAATTTTAAGTGACAAAATATGGGTTTCTGTTCAGCCTTTCCACTTTTTTAATCAAAATAGCTTGAAATTTTTGGTCCTAACCACCCAAGGCATGAAGCCAAATCATTAAAAAAAAATCACCCAGTCATCAAAAATCTTCTATACATGTACAATATGTGTACTTCTAGACATTTGGCATGCAAACTGTACATTTCCTGATTAATAAGCCACATAAAAAGTGAAATTATGGTTCTCAGTCCTTTGCAAATCTGTTTTGAGGTAGCCATATATCTGATTTAAAAAAAGTTGGTAATGTAGTTTTGTAGTCAAATTTTGTTTCTGGAAGCTGTTTTTTTTTTTTAAAAAAGGCCACTTTGTTTTAAAAAATTCAAAGTTATTGCTTACGATGATCACACATTGGTACAGACATTAGAAGAATTACAATTTACAAGACGCTGAGTTCTAATCAAAACAAACCATCTCCGATAATTACGTGTTGAAAACTAAAGGAGTAAATGCATTTTATGCAAATAGGTTTTTAATATACACCAAACTAAGTATTAGTTTTACACAATGATATCTTTGCTGTTTCCATTTATTTATGTTAGGTTTAATGTTTTTAATGGGTTTGTTACCAAATCAGAAGGTAAAAAAAATTACACATGGTAAAGTTTGCCATATGTGCTTCAGAGGTGTGTACAATGTATAGTTATACCTGTGTGCATCCTCAGAGACAACAAAAAGTAGTTTTTCACAACAAAATATTTCATACCAGTATTCACAACTTTGTTTTCATTTACTTAAAATGTTTACTTAAAGTGATAGCTTGTATAATGATAAAAAAACTGCAACAGGAAATATTAAAAGCATTTTTTACAAAAAGTATGTATTCATAATATTTCATTATACTGGTAATTTATGGATATAACAGTGATATTGCAAAGTAAATTTGCAGGTCCCCAGGACTTTGCTATGATAGAGATTTACCGTAACTGATAAATTCATTAGACATGATGTTGATACAATTTTTGTATGTTCATATACATGTACATTTGAATCTCTTTGAATAGAATGGTAATGGAATCATATGTATACATGTTTGTATGAATGTAATTGGGAATGTAAATGAATGTTACAATGTGGGTAATCACAACAGTATGTGTTTGTTTGGCTTAGGTATGCCCAGTTTGTGCCTCCATGCCATGGGGAGACCCTAATTACTGTAGTCCTGATATAGTTCATCACCTCAACATGAGGCATAAGTTTGAATATGACACATATGTGGTAAGTCATTAACATTCAATGTTAAAAAATATTTGTAATTAAATTTTTGTTTACCATAGCTGAGAGTGAGCTTTGTCTGGCATCCGTCTGTCCCTCTAGCTGTCTGCCCATCAGTCTGTAAACTTTTCTCTTTTTCCAACAGAACCACTTGGCCAATTTCAACCAAAGTTGACACAAAGCATCCTTGGGTTAAAGGGGATTCTAAATTTTTCTAATGAAGGGCCAAATCTCCTCCCAAGGGGAGATAATAAAGAAAGGGCAAAAAATAGGGTGGAGTCTTTAAAAAATCTTCTTCTCAAGAATCACTGAGCCAGAAAAGGTAAGACTTATGTGAAATCTTTCTGAGGAAGTATATATTCTAAATTGTTCAAATCATACCCCAGGGGGTAGAGAGGTGCCAAAATTGCAATTCAAACTTTTAGAATGAAATATATAGGAAAAATCTTTAGAAGTCTTCCTTTTAAGACTCACTGGACCAGAAAAGATGAAACTTGTGAAAGATTTCTGAGATTTAGAATTTTCCAAATCATCCCCCCCTTTGGGGACAGCTGGTGGGGCCACAATAGGGGATCACTGATTTACATTGAAATATATAGAAAAAAGTCTTCTTAAGGAGCACTGGGTCATAAAAGATGAAACTTATACTGTATGAAAGCTTCCTGAAGTAATGTTGATTTCCTGACACATGTAGAATCTAAATTGTCCCCCTCCCAAGCAAATATACATATAGGAAGAAATCTTTAAAAATCTTCTTATGGACCACTGGACAGAAAAAATGAAACACATGTGAAGGCTTCCTGACATAATGTAGATTCTAAACTATTCTAACCATAGCCCCCTGGGGTGGAGTGGGGCCACAATAGGGAATCAAAGTTTCACATTGGAATAAATAGAATCTGAAAAGTGTAGACCTATGAAAGCTTTTTAGTATTATTAGTTTTTTGGAGCCAAAATAAGGACAGTTTTACATCTTTACAAGAAAACTTTTTAAAAAAAATCTCAAGAACCACAACAGAACCATTAATTTGCAAACATTTGCAAACATTCCCAAGTTATATGGATTTCTTTTTTTTCTTCAAATTATGGACTCCTGTTGGGTTAGAGTTGGCTAAAATTAGGATCAAATTTTAAAAAATGCATGTATAAAGGAAGAGAATTTTTTTTCATAACTGCAAGGCAGTGTTAGTTACATGGATATTGTAGAATCCCCAATTTATGTGGATTTAGAGACTCCTAGAGTTAAGGTTGGGTCATAATTATATTTTACATAGAAATATAAAAGTCTCTTAAAAATCTGATGAAAAATGTTACTCAGGTGAGCATTGTGGCCATTGGTCAATTTGTTTAATGAAAAATTTATTTCTTTTCAATTTTCATATTTGATATTAGTACATATTCTAGTGAGGAATTTCAATATGCAATTTCCTCTTTGCTGGCAAAGATAATGAAATATAATGAACTTTTATTTTATTTTATTTTATTTGCCATTTGGATATTAATACTGTTATTTTCTTCTCAGGATTTTAACCAGGATGAGGATGAAATGTTGAGGCAAGCATTACAGGCCTCCCTGGAACCAGTATAAAGTTTAGTATTGTTTATACAAGAGAGTTGCCATTAATATGCTGATAAAGATATCAGGGGTATATAAAAGAGGGGGAAAACTGTGATGTAACTGAAAAAGAACCAGCCACTATGCATAAGTTTGTTTTAATAGGTATATTAGAAATATTAGGGGTTATCAAAAAGTTCAAGAACTGATGCAATAAAATGAATACTATGTACTCAGTGCTTACAAAATTTATAAGGAATATAAAACAGCAAAAGTTTAAGATGTATTAAAAATTTAAGCTTGATACATTTATAATTTGTCAAATTATCATTAAGTACAAGAGACAATATAGGATCACCAGGTGCTGTGGCCATTGAGTTTCATGACGTTGGATAACATCATTGTTTTTCCATGTTTGCTCCCTCTGCCTCAATACACTTTTCTTGATGAAATTCCCTGGAGTTTTAAGTAAAGACTGAAACCCGTCTTGTTTATATTACTTTATGATGTCATGAACAGCTTATTTCAATACATATATAGTATTGTAAATGGATATATACATAAGGAAAGATCCCCATTCCATTATGCCAGCATAATTTGTTTGTTGGAATTCATTGCCTAACTCACCTGAGCAACATCACTTTTTGACATGACTGACTTTGGACATCCAGACTACAAAACAGGTACTATGGATGCATTTGATTTCTCTGTAGCCTATGTAAACATTTCCTTTATCTATGTTAGTTCTTCCAGGGGTGAAACTTTATAGAATTTGGGAAAAAGACATCTCTCCCCCCTTCTGGCATTACTGAACCCCTTAATTTTCTGGCAATGCATATAAAATTTATGAAAAAATTTCATAGAACTTACAGAATGAGGTAAAAATTGAAAATTTTATGCAACAATTGAGTGAGTTAACGTATTGATTATTGGATGACAAATGCTCACATATTAAAGAATTTTTCTCCATTAGACACAGTAGATATATGTCGTATTTTTAGGTTGCGGTTCCTGATCATACCATTGCTTTCAAAAAACATTAACAATTTTTAAAAAATAAAACTATGATTTATAGTTATTCTATAGATAGAAAAAGATGATGCTAACAAAATGTGTAAAAATTCATTGATGTACCTCAAGCGATTTTAATTTTATTCCTGCTAGTCCACGAACTTTTTGATAACCCAATGTATGGTACATGTGGACTGAATTGAAAAAATTAATGCACGTTTTTTTTATTTTATGAAATATTTTCTTTGTGTTTGTTCAGTTTATAATTGCTTTTCCACAAGGGTGTAGAGGTTATTGTTCCCCTATTCTTATTTTGAGTTTCATTACAATTTTTACACTGTAAGATAAATCATGTTTTTGCAAATTTTTCCATTTTCATTAAGTTCTCTTACGTAATCTTATCCAGAATATGCATCCTGATTATTGTGTCAACACTTTACAAAATGGTAGAAATGTTGTTAAATATCAGTTTATCAATGTAAAAGTTTATTATGTATTTAACACATGTGGAATTAATTTTATCATTTCTTTGAGGTAGTTGTCAAAAACCTCGACACAAAAGTTCCCAGTAATACCATTGTCTTTTGATTGTAAAACTTAGCAAAGCAATACACTGTGATTTCACAATTAAATGTACAAAATCATTAATTGCTGCTACATGTACATGTACCTGTTGAAGATCTTATGGATTGCTTAGGTTTTCATTAAGTTTTTCTGTCTGTATGTCCTGATTTTTTTTTTTCTATTTTTTTTTTTTTTTGATTGTCTAATAATGTTCAAATTTGGAATGATAATAAGCAATTAGTCATAAATATGGAAACTAAGTTTGATTCGGGATGGGGCAGATTCCTTAATAGTACTTTATATGAAAGAATGGTTAAAGAGCAATAACTTCTGAAAATGTTCCTATTATGAACTAAGTCCATCTTGCACTGAAAACGCACATTATTCACTGAAAACATACATTTTCTTAAATGCATACTGATATACATCTTCATTTGTGTTATAATTCTACAGAATTAGTAAAAAAAAAATATTTAAGCAAAAATGATTTAAATTCTTTACTGCCTTTTGTAAATACAAGGATACTGTTGAATTTTCGCAATGACATTTAATGTCATTTTTGGAAAGACTCTTTGAATTATAATTACAATGGTTGTTTTATATTCTTCTTCCTAAAATAATCCTTTTTAATTTTTTTTCTTGATCAATTTATTGCTATCCCATGCATCTGCAGAACCCTTGCTGACTGGTCAGTTTTCTGTTTTTATTCATTTTGATTGCAGATAATGTAGAACACATGACAGTAATATTGAAATGTAATGATTATACTTTATCTTTTGTAAGGCGACTCCAGATCACTGTTTTTGCTCTCTTATAATATTTGTTTAAAGTAAAATATTTCAAGTAAAAGCGTCTGCCAAAATTCCAAGACATTAAAAAGTAACTAAATCACTCTATATGTTTCTCAGTACATTCATGCTTATAAGTACATGTATATGTTGATCCTTGTCCGTTAAAGGATACTTGAAAATATGAAATGGATTCCTATTGTATGACACCAGCTGTCGATTTTTTACTGCCACTGTCGACAGCATCTGCTTACATCAGTAGATTTGACAGTGTTCACTGCGCATGTGAGAATAAACTTCATAAAAGTAACAGAAACAAAACTCAACATACAAAATAACGAATCTAATCTCAACGAATGTCTTCAGTAGGTAAGACAAAGTCTCGCACCAAATTAATATTCTGGAAGTATATGCATCTCTCGATGCAACACCCATGCAAGTTTTTGTTCAGCCAACTACAACATGTTACCTTTGGTTACTCAAAAGGCTTCTGGATCTATTCCCAAGAAATTGTGTACATGTACATGAACATTTCAAATCGATATATTGTAAGCTACTGGCATGTAAATTTAAGTATATTTTATGGAGTTTCTCAGATGCGAAGTGTGTTCTTAAAAAGGATATACTAGCATGTGTCACTCAAAACATACTAGAAGCACTCTTAATGAAAACCCAATGATTTCATGAAAACAACCATCTTCACAAGGACTCAGGGGTCCTGAGTCAATACGAAGCAGGACCAACAGCAGCTTGTTGACTCAGGACCCCTGACGTTGTGAGGATGAAAAAACAATGCGATTCGTTGTTTGCTTTATTTCTTGACACCCCCCCCCCAAAAAAAATAATGATAATAAAGATTTTATAGTGAGTCTTACATCCTATATTGTTTGTCCCCCCCCCCCCCAATTCACTGTACCTTTCTACCTTCTTTCCGATTGCCCCCCCCCCCCTTTTAAACACTGTTTTGGATCCTAAAGATGATGATGAAATTGTACCAATCGCTCAAAAAGAATGTTTTCTGGTTTTATCCTGTTACAATTACAAAAGCAGAATGAGATAATCCACGTAGTAAACGGATTATATTTTTTTTAAAAAAAGAAGGTATTATTGCAAGTGATATACTCGACCTTGTAATAAATAACAATCAGGCTCGTTGAACGGGGGTGGGGGCTTTTTTTTTTTTTTTGCTAGTCAGATTTTTTGGGGAAACACCTTCATCCACCACCCCACTTTTCAAATCGTTGCTACGGACCTGTTATTTATATTTACATTCTTTTGGGCTAATTTTCCCCCCTATGAATACAATTTAATTTTCTAAAATTATATCATCATGCAAAATAATTTGGTCAACACGCAGCAAAATAATTGGTAATGACTATCTTGCATATATCAAATTGCATTTAATCTGCAGAAAAATAAAGCATATGGGGGGGGGGGGAGGGACAGAAAGCCACCACAGTCTTTAAAACATTAAAAGTGTGTAAAATATTGTATTGTCAATCTATACTAGTCTACACATTGATGGAAAAGCCATGAAACTTTGTACCGCTAAACGTTTCTTTCATATTTGGAGCTGCAGATGGTTTTATACAACACTCCACCCAAAATTTCTGTCGTTTGATTTTTGTTATTTTTGTATATTTTATACTTGACTATATATACTTTGTGTATGCACACTTAGGACAAAATCTTTTGAGTCGCTTTTGGACAGGAAGTTCCAAAAGCCCCCCCCCCCCCGGTTCACGAGGAGAGGGAATTTTTTAATCAACGAAATATATAATCATTGATTTTCCAATAAAGTCAGGTTACCTTAGTTGTCAAATTTCAGTGACTTACTCTTTTAACCAATAAAAACATTTTAATATTGTAGAGGTAAACTTCGACAAACACAATTTTGAAGAACTTAAAACTGAAAAACCATTATTCATTTTAGCCTTGAAAAATGCGTGTTTTTCAATTTTTATGACGTCGAGCTCTTGGAGCTCGAACGTCATCTAGCGATCGGCCAAGTGAAATCGCCAAGGGATGTACGCGACCGAATGTGTCAGTGGATGCATCCGCAATAGAAAATAGCAATAGCTATAAACCAATTTCTTTTAAAACGCTCACAATGAATAATTATAGCTTGAAAATGAAATTGCATCAATTGTATCTACAATTAATTCTTTTACAAAACAACGATATTATGTTTTATTTTCACACAATAAAAACGTGATGGTTGTTGCGGATGAATTTCTACAGAAAGGTGCGTCGAATGACATGAATGACATTTTGGAACGATAACCGTGGAACAATAAAAAACCCAACAGGCGGTAAAATAATTTACAAAATTACATAAACACGAATACTATAAGACTGAAAAGATTGAATTTGTAAATCTTAGCTTTACTTTTACAATCTTCTGACCAACTTTATCCTAAAAACCGATGATGTTGACCAGTATTACTGTATTTCTCTATTTCCTCCATTTCCCAGTATACCGTATACCACGCCCGATCGTAACTCGATCGTAATTGTAACAGAACAGTCTTGGTTGTAGTTTAGATGCAATCACTAATACAACGCTTTGACATTGGCAATTAGAAAAAATATTATATAAATTTATGAAATCCTTCATAGTTCTTCAACTGACTGAAAAGAATTTAGCATGAAACATGTTCGACGGTGTCTGGTCAATTCGAACCCTGCTCCATTCGGACCATGACATAAGGCCCCAGACTGTAATTGTGATATTTTGTTTAAAACTATTTTTTTTATTATTTCTCCTGAGTCACTCACTTGACTTATTGCTATCTTCAAATTCAAAATGATCTTTTGAAATTGTTTTTCTTCTTCGACGTCATTGAAGCCTTTCAGGCTTTTGATTTTAAAAATTTTTTTTAAAAAATTTTTTTACGAAAAAACTTATGGTTTAATTTTTGAAAAAATACTTTCTACATGTAGCTAGATGGCAATATAATCTGGATAAATTTTTTTGTATTTTTTTTTTAAATGACCCGTTTTGAAATTATAGCGGAAACCCTCCTTTCTCCCTAAGTCACGTTTCTCACAACGTCTTTCAGACTTGGGACAAAATCAGTGCTATAAATCTACGAATACACATAAAAAATACCAAGCTGGAAAATATCTTTTGCTTTTAATATGTTATTTACATTATGTTTTATCACAAACTCAAAACTTAACAGTGCATTTAAAGGAAAGCCATAAAGCTCATTTTCGTCAATTAGAAAAATGCGTTATAAGGTGTAACAGTCGCGAATAAACGCGAAATTTTTTTTAAGCTACGGATTGCGATAGACCCCCCCCCCCTCCGTTATTATATGGATCCTTCTGTTGCTTCTATAACTAAAAGGGAAATTCTGTTATCGTCCATATAACCTTCAATGTTTCAAACTGTAAATTCTTCATTTATTTTGAAATTCTTCAAGTGCCTAAATAATCATGTGGTATCAAACGTTTTCTTTTTATTCGAGAAAATGCGAACTGAAACCGTTTACAGTAAAAGATCAAACCAAAGGCGCTTGGTGTTAGGAGGGTGTGTTTTGTGTATTATCAGTCATTCTACAAAAACATGACCAATTTCCTGTAAGAATTTTTTATGTCGCTTACAAATTAGCCGTCATAATATATTAACTATAAATTTAAAGGTCGATTTCAACTCTAAGACTTAACATACACTCATGGTTTTGTAAATATTTACCCATATATATGCAGGTAAAGTTTTGATATGAAAAAAAATGTAATTTTGAAAAACGTATTCCACTGCAAATCTTAATGTCGCTTCATTTATTTACAAATTTCAAGATGAAATTTTCAGCCGTAAAAGTGTTCCGAATAGATTGCAATGAATTTTAAAAACAGGTTTTTATCCTTTATAAAAAGAAATTAAACCACTTCTCGCAAAGAAATGCATTGATCTCCTTTCATGCGAAATCATAAGCATGTCGCTTAAAATCGATTAACTCCCGTAACGATTTTGTTTTAAATTTCACGCATAGGATGCAGATTTCAAAAAGAACTGAAATTTATCTGAAAGTGACCACGGAACCTTATATCATCGGTTCTATTTGCGACTCAGCTACTTTAGACGATTACATTTTCGACATAATAAAATGAATTAGATAAAAACAGTTGTCTCTCTTAAAAATTTAACTTCCGTACGGTAATTCAGGAAAGTTTTTGCATTAAAGGTATAAATTTTTTTATTATTTTGGAAGCGAAATGCTTCATACTTTTGTTAATTATCCTAAAACAAACTTTGATTTTAATTATTGAAGAGAATTTTAACTTTTATTGCTGGGAATTAACTTCCGTAACGATATTTTTCCCGAAAATTTAATTTATTTTCGGATTCATGCGAGACTTCATGAATCATACTTTACTGAACCTCAGAAACGAAAAATTGGTCAAATTCAGCTTTATTTAAAAAATAATAAGGCTTGATCAAGCATTAACTTCCTTAACATTAACTTAAAATCAATGGTATATTGAAATGGTTGTAAAAAGTTAACGATACCAGATTTGTGGACAATTCTTCGTTTTCAAGTTCACTGATAAGTCCTTTGGAGAATTATGATGTTCATTTTGCTATTTGAAACAATTATTTCTTTTTCATACTCTGAATTGGTCCATTTATCGTAGAATGACTGATTATGTGTTTATTTGGTTGTCTGTATTTCAGCGATTTTTAACTTTTATTTTAATGAGTGTATTCAGACACACCTAGAAAAAATACACCATCCAGAGATCAAGCGCCTATCATGCTATGGTTCACATACACCCATTTATACAAACGTCGAATCCGTCAAGTTAAACATTTAATTGGAATTGCAAGAGTTATCTACCCCACCGTGCTGTACGTCTTTAATTAAAATAGTTTAGAAATTGTATAGATTACTCCACACTGGCGGATTTAAAGGGCCAGACACCCCTTTTGTGTCCAAAATATACATAAGATTTAATAGATCATTTTCTTTTGGTGTGAACGTGGGCTCCTATCCCGACCCCAAACTGCCCCCCCCCCCTTTTCAAGATTCCTGGATCCGCCACTGCTCCAGATAAGAAGCAATAAGTTTTCCTTAAGAAATAAAAGAGAAAACATCCAGTGG